AAGAGTCGAACCCAAACCGAATTCAAAGCTAACGGAATTAGTGCTAAATCCGAGTAATTTGACTCCATTAGCAGCCGTATACCCAAAGACCTTCCACCTGCTATGGGCAGACTTGCACATGTTTCTAACCCAAGTTGATCCCTCGTAGCCCACAAAATGTGTTCAAACAAAGTCCTCGAGAGCTAGATCACTTTTTTGCAGGCCTGGGCTTCAGACCTAACCCATTTTTGTGTAATGGATTGCACTAGTAGCCCACCATTGTTAATGATCAGAAAAAATTGAGGGAGTATCTCATCTGGATTAATCCATGAAAAGCCACATTATACATATCTGGATTACCATATCTCCTGCATCATTTTTCTTAAAAGAGAGAAAACACATTTTTTAATTGTAAAAAAAAAAAAAAAGGAAAAATTACACTCAGTCCTCCTAAAGTTTGTTACTCAATCATTTAGACCCCTAAGATTTGTCACTTAATAATTTAGACCCCTGAGGTTTAAAATATTATAGACAGACCTCCTGAAGTTTATACGCGTCTAACACTTAAATTTCTGTCGTCAATGTCCGTTAAGTTATTTATTAGTAAATTACACTTAGATCCCTAAAATTTATAAACGAATAACACTTAAACCTCTCAAGTTTAAATATTACAGTTAGACCAAAAATACTTTAATTATAGACAAAATATATATCAAATATTTTAAATTTTACAACAAAAATTCATACTCTATTATATCATTTATTAAAATAAAAATCTAATTTTTTCTTCAAAAAATTATAATTAGTACTATTGATGTCAAAATTTAGATGACCTCTACAACAGTAATAGACACAATATCTTCTATATTTAATTGAGATAATTTGGTCATTTAATAAATTCTGATAAGAGGTTTAAGTATAATATTTTAAACCTAATAAGTCTATATGTTATATGCTTATAAATTTTAAGGGTTTAGATGTAATTTATTAACAAATATACTAGCGAACATTAACGACAAGAGCCTAAATATTATGTGCGTATAAACTTCAGAGGTTTGTGTGTAATATTTTAAATGTCAAAAATTTTAAGTGATTAAATAACAAATCTCAAGATATTTAGTATATTTTTTTACAAAAATAATAAAAAAATGAGAAACCAACCCAAAAAAATTTCAAAGAAAAAAAAAATTAAAAATTTAAAAGCATTGACTTTCATTTTTATTGGGACAAATTTTGGCTTAAGATTGCAAGCATGTATCGCAATCCGAGATGAGGTTTGCAGGTGTGACGCTTGTCGTGTTAGATCTCCGCCGAAGTTGAACCTGAATTGATGCCAAAGGAGTCCCTGTCAAAGGAAGGAGACATAAATAAAAATCTTGGTAAGCATCGATGATGCTCGAAAATACTCGGCTCAAGTCTAGGTTAATGTTTTGTAAAATGGGGAAGGTAATATAAGCATTCTTAGCTAACAGGCGAAATTTATATGATCAAAGATAATATATAAGTGATTCATCCTCACCGAAAAACTAAAGCTACGTTCACCGTAATTGAGACTCTTGTTCCGTAGAGTTTATAGTAATTGAAAAAGAAGGTTACAGTGAATTTTTTAACTTAGAGTTTTTCTATACACTATCTTGTAAATAGAAGTTTTTCAAGTAGGTTTTACATTGCGTCATGATATTCTATTTATACAAAAGGGGTTATCTAGGATTTTCTACGATCTTCCTTTTGCTTTGACTGATTATATAGTTTTCCTCCTTTTTGTCTTTGTAGTGGTGACTGTTACACTAATACTAGCCATATTCACTGTCCTTCAATGAAATGTGTACAAATATTTCATTTACCAAAGAGTGCACGTTTGTTAGAGGTTCTAAAAATTGGCCCCTGAACACGTGACACAATGTGGGACATTTGGGGTCTGGTGAGTACCGAGCTCCTTGATCTTGGGTTATTTACCGCTGAACTTGTTATGACCGAGTAGGATTGTGCCGAGCTGGACTCTCTGCTGTACTCCTTCCTTTGAATTATAACTTATTTTTTATTGCAGAGCAGATGAGTTATAGAGGGGTTTCTTGGGCTGTTATGCAACCGTTGGACCCAAAGTCCTATCGTTATCAAGTATAAAATTATTGCATCATAAATTACATGAAGATGAGAAAATATTCATTACAACGGTGATATTCAATGGTAATATTAACGTGATATCAATAATCAATAATATCAAAACAAATAAATAAATGGATCACACAAAAATTAATAATCAATTATCTATTTAAACAAATGACTATTCACTCTTTCTCTGCATAAACAAATAACTATTCAAGTGAAATTAAGATTATTTACGTTGTGTTTTATTATTGATTGATGATACCATGTTAAAATTTTTGACATAGTATTATTGTTGCATTCAACGTTTACTTGAAGACGAAGCCACCGTTGCAAAATATAGTTGGAGGAATCAATTATTGTCATTTGACGGATTAAAAAATGAACCAATTTTCGTAGACAATAATGGACGAATATGTCTCTATCGAATAAATATTTAATATAACATTTAAATTACGTCATCATGGATATAATAGACTAATAATTAAATAAATAAGACAAATAAATTATATTAATCTTAAATGAAAAGTTTAAATGTAGAAATTATTAATGATTATAGAATTTAATAAAATATATTAATCTTATATAATTATTTATATCAAGAGAAGGTGATACATAGTATAACGGTTACGTTAAATATTTTCAGTCTAATCAGTTTAGGCCCCACATAATTCCAGGGTTGCAACGCGCTTTCGCTTCCTAAATTAATTGGGTCCCACGTTATGGTCCACGCTGCCAAACACGCTTTTGCGTCGCAGTCACAGAGCATCACGCGGTTTCCCGCTCAAATATGTTGGTCAATTTCTTTGAGCTTTGTGCATGGAATCGCGTGTCTTCTTTTTTTATCTTCTCAACAAATGACATTGACTTTTACTCAAATCCTTTTGACGTCTTTGTTACGAAGTAGTTTGTTGTTATTTGGTTATCACAGTTTAAATGTTGTTCCGTCTACCCCTGCATCTCTTTCGATTGCCTTTGACATAAGTTAGGGATGATAGTGGTGTCAATGTAATATTCAAACACAAAGGAGTTTGCTGATAATATCAAAAGCCATAGGGGGGGTTTACACTGAATTTTCCCCTTTGCTTCTCTTTTTAAACTTGGCTTTTTGACAAGTCTATTACCATTGTTTAATACAATTATGGTACTTAACTACCCCCGTCCTACCCGTTACTTCAATTCGAAGAATATTAAATGCCAAAAATAGAAGCAATACATTGGGACAATACACAAAATCAATTGTTTAAAACACACTAACCTAAAAAAATGTTTAATATACACAATGTTATTTAGCTTCCACTTGTACCCATCATGTCATTGTCATGAAAAAATAAATGACAAGATTAGAATAGTACAATCTGACAATCCTCAAATTAATTAAGCTAACCAATCCATCTAGGGTTAATCAGGATAATAAATAGTTGATTATCCCTTGATATTTCATTAATTAATTGAATTAATGAGAGATTTATCTATCATGAATATTTTAATTTCAGTGTAGATGGTCTTGGATCAAGAAGAAGATTAGTCAAGATGTGCGTAAACTGATCTAAACACCTTAACAGTTGAATACAAAAAAAAAAAAAAATCGATCGAGATATATCAAAATATGTTGTCATCTTTCATCGGAATGCGATTGTGAGGTTTTCTATCACAATAATTTTTTTTCAATTTAAATCTTACATCTTTGTATTTGTGTTTAGTCGAATTTATGTTAATTTATTTATTAAACTAGTTAGATAAATCAAATTATTTGTATCTTCAATCCATTAAGCTAAATCTATACCTACAAACTTCATGTCAATGTTGAATTAACCTTTCATGTTACAAATTATAAATCTTACCACCTAGTAAACCCCATCGATAGTCAGCACCCTTTTTCCCTAGAAGCACCACCTCAAATCCTACTACAAACCTAAATTAGAACTTCCATCATAAAACAGAAGCCCATCACCTCTAAAACAAACCACCATACAAAGCTTTCAGTCTCTACACTTGAACCTATTCTAGCTCTAGCTTCCTTTAATTTGGTGGTGCAACCACCCAGTGAGGAGGAAGGAAACCCCTCCTAGTTTGGCTTGCAACGTTATGAGCTGTTGAATTTGCAGAACTCTGTATTGTTTGAACTGGATTGGTGAGATTTTTTGAGCATATGCCCAATGCTGAATTGCAGTTACTTCCCTTATGGTGTCTGCTTTTTAAGTGTAAGGCTAATCTACATGCACTACGGACTGCCAGAGCTTCCGTGACTAGGGGTGAGTTTGCCTCCATTACAGTTGAGATACCATTAATTAAATCTCTATTATAGTTTTTGGCAACTACATCATAAGCCCCTCATTTAGTTTCCTCTAGAGACCTTGGTCCATCCTCCAGGCGGTAAAGTCCATACTAAGATTCAATTCAAATATGGACCCAATAGCAACAACCTCCTTCCCGTCCAGCACAAGTGTGAAAGCCTTTTCCCTAACCCCTTTTTCAATTTGAGTCACTAGTTCAACTCGATTAGAATTGTGCTTTAATTAACCGGATACTGATTCTGTTGGTTGATTTGACTCGAAAATTTATCTCTACCCACGAGGCCTAGATTCCCATAAAAATTTCTCTAGAAAAATGCATCTTCAATCTCCATTTGCCAATATGCATGCATATTAGTGAAAGGATGTTTGGGTGTGGAGCTAATTATGCTCCCCATGAGTAAGTTGGGAATATAAGTATTTTGTTACTATAAGACATAAAAAGAAATAACACCAATAATTTCCACTATGAATTTTCCTAACCACAATTTTATAATTAGCAAGGTTTTGATGTCACAATTGAAAACGGCAGAGGGTATCTCTGTCAATATCATAATATCAGGGGTTAAGTGGTGAGGAATTCGTTGATGTCGTTTTAATTTAAACTTACTTTTCGCTTCGCTACCTCAATTAGAAAGGCGTGCATTCGCAAGCCGAAAGGTCTGTACATTTCTGACCTGTGAGACCTCCGGTCATCAACTAGCGTCGTTGGCCGAGCTTCCCCTACGTTTCCGTAACAAGATCGATCGATCAGAAACAAATCCTCTCTCTCTCTCTCTCTCCGGTTGTTGTTGCTGTAGGCAAGTACAGATTTCAAACTCTGCTTTTACTTTTTCAAAAAGAGTATTAGGTGCAGAGGAATAAAGAAATAGGTGCAGAGGAATAAAGAAAGAAAGAAAGAAGCAAACAAGGAAGACTCAATCAACGTGTCAGATCCGTCACGCTACTGGTAGAATTGGAATGAGATTCTGAAATCTACTGTTTTCTCCACTAGGATAATTATTTAGTTGTGTGGCGTTGATCTTTGTTTGAGGGGGTTTCGTAGAAAACGATGGCGAGCTATTTGAAGGATTTTGAGGAGGTGAAATCGAAGAACTCGTCGGAGGACACGCTTCAGAGATGGAGGAAGGCCTGTTGGCTCGTTAAGAATCGTAAACGTAGGTTTCGATTCACTGCTAATCTCTCCAAGCGTTGCGAAGTTCGCGAGATTCAACGCTCCAATCAGGTCTCTCTCTCTCTCCATTTTCATTCTTCTTATCTCTCCAAGCGTTGCGAAGTTCGCGAGATTCAACGCTCCAATCAGGTCTCTCTCTCTCTCCATTCATTTTCTCTATCCCTCTTTTTTTTCTTTCTCTTTCCCTTTTGGTACATAACAATCAATTTCGTGCTGTAGCTAGCTGACTCGAGTCTTACTTTTTTGTTTGGAAAACATAATACTGCAAAGTCAAAAACCAGACGGATAAGAACACCCTAAAAAGGAGCAGACGAAGATTTCGTTTTCTTACAGTTTAATAATTCTTACCTGAATATTCACTGTGGAGTCCCCGTTTTAATTGTATTAACAAAGTATTCTATCTTATATTTCTGGTTGTTTGATTAATAATTTCTTTTGTTATTGGTTTGCCTTCTCCATTCAAGTTATGCAGCAAGCATCAATTTGTTGACTTTCTATGGTGAAATTGTTGAAGATGGAAATCAATTTGATATCTGTATACATCCCTGTGGCTGAAATTTCTCAAAAGCACCAACGTAAAACCAATGCTTTTGAAACAATGGAATTACTTTGGATATGCTTACTAAAAATGTCCTTAATAATACTTTAAGTAGTTTCATTTTTAATTCCTGCCGAATGTTGAACCATTTTCGTTTACCTGCCAATTTTATGGGAGAAGACGAATTGAGGTATGCAAATGAGTACTCGAAAAAGAGTAAGGATGATTTCCAATAAACCAGATCCATATTTCCTCAATTGAGCATTGAAGGTTCTAGGGATTAAAATGATCTGGTGATGCATGCATTTTTTAGATTTGAAAAGGTTTTGCAGCAATAAATCTAATCAATGTTGGAAATGGACGTAGACTTTTGATTCTTTTCCATGGGAACATATTGCGTTACTATGCTCAGGGTGGTGTATGTTTAATAAACAACCCTATGAGACTGTTTCAGAAATCTAATGCAGCTAGCTCAGCTGGTTGAAATTATAACTGAACTGTTAGTTGAGCATGAATCGTGTGTGCTCAATTTTGAAGAAAAACTTTTAGAGATCTGACATTCTTTGTACTTTGAGAACATTTTTGTCTCAATTTCTGGAGGTCTTATCTGTATATCTTCCAATATTGTAGGAGAAGCTTAGGATTGCAGTTTTGGTTTCTCAAGCTGCGATTAATTTTATCCAAGGTACAAATTTCTACAATCCATGCAAGTTTGAAGTTCACAATTTTATTGTCTTTCTTGTATTGATTATCTGCTGAATGCCTCCAGGTGCAACATACAGTGTGCCAGAAGAAGTCAAAGTTGCAGGTTTTCAAATTTGTGCTGATGAGTTAGGATCCATTGTTGAGGGCCATAATTTGAGGAAGCTGAAAGTTCATGGCGGGATTGAGGGTATTGCAGAAAAGCTCTCAACATCAACCACCAATGGAATTTCTACTTCTGAGGATTCTCTAAAACGAAGAAAAGATACATATGGAGTCAATAAATTTGCTGAAAGCCCAGTCAGGGGTTTCTGGATATTTGTATGGGAAGCCCTCCAAGATACAACGCTCATGATACTGGCCGTTTGTGCCTTTGTGTCTTTGATTGTTGGCATAATAACGGAAGGATGGCCTAAGGGTGCCCATGATGGACTTGGAATTGTTGCAAGCATTCTGTTGGTTGTATTCGTCACTGCTACGAGTGATTATAAACAGTCATTACAGTTTAAGGATTTGGATAAGGAGAAGAAAAAAATTACGATTCAGGTTACTAGAAATGGGTATAGGCAAAAAATCTCAATATACGATCTACTTCCCGGTGATATTGTTCATCTTGCTATTGGGGATCAGGTTCCAGCTGATGGACTTTTTGTTTCTGGATTTTCTGTGTTGATTAATGAATCAAGTTTAACAGGAGAGAGCGAACCAGTTAATGTGACTGCTCAGAAACCTTTTCTCTTATCTGGAACTAAAGTTCAGGATGGGTCTTGCAAAATGCTTGTTACTACTGTTGGGATGAGAACTCAATGGGGCAAATTGATGGCTACTCTTACTGAGGGAGGAGATGATGAGACTCCATTGCAGGTCAAACTAAATGGGGTGGCAACCATTATTGGCAAAATAGGCCTTTTTTTTGCTGTTATCACTTTTGCTGTTCTTGTGCAAGGATGGTATAGCCGCAAAATGCTAGAAGGGTCTCACTGGAGCTGGTCTGGAGATGATGCCCTGGAAATGCTGGAATACTTTGCTATTGCAGTTACTATTGTTGTTGTTGCAGTTCCTGAGGGGCTGCCTTTAGCGGTGACATTGAGCCTTGCATTTGCCATGAAGAAGATGATGAATGATAAGGCACTTGTCCGCCATCTGGCTGCTTGTGAGACTATGGGATCGGCCACTACGATTTGTAGCGACAAGACTGGGACGCTAACTACAAACCACATGGCTGTTGTAAAAGCATGCATTTGTGGGGAAATCAAAGAAGTTAGTGGATCTGTAAAGAAATCTGTTCTCTGCTCTGGAATTCCTGATTTTGCTATGACAATTCTACTTCAATCCATACTTAACAACACTGGGGGAGAAGTGGTTAAGAATAAGGACAACAAAACTGAGATCCTGGGAACACCTACTGAAACTGCACTTTTGGAATTTGGGCTCTTGCTTGGCGGGGATTTCCAAGCAGAGCGACAAGCATCAAAGCTAGTGAGAGTCGAGCCATTCAATTCTGCGAAGAAGAGGATGGGGGTAGTTTTGGAGCTTCCAGGAGGAAGTTTCCGGGCCCATTGTAAAGGCGCTTCTGAAATAATTTTGGCTGCATGTGATAAGATCATAGACTCGAGTGGTGAGATTGTTCCTCTCGTTGAAGCTTCGACTAAGCATCTGAAGGATACAATTGACCAATTTGCTAACGAATCTCTTCGAACTCTATGTCTTGCATATATGGACATGGGAAGTGAGTTCTCTGCTGAGAGCCCAATTCCCCTTGAGGGATATATTTGTTTAGGAATTGTTGGCATTAAAGATCCAGTTCGTCCTGGTGTCAAGGAGTCTGTTGCAATTTGTAGGTCTGCTGGCATTACTGTGCGGATGGTAACAGGAGACAACATAAACACCGCGAAGGCAATTGCCAGAGAATGTGGAATTCTCACTGATAGTGGTATAGCTATTGAAGGCCCAATATTCAGGATGAAAAGTGAGGAGGAGTTGTGTGAAATTATTCCAAATCTTCAGGTTCTTCTACATTTCTAATTTTGTTATCTTGGCTGAATTTAAGGTGTGCCGTAACAACAATCAATGGATAGAACACTAAAACTTTTAAAAGAGTATGCATTTATGTATATCAGAATCTGTTATTTCGGATATAGTTACACCTCTACATCTTGCCCTGCTTGAGTGGCTGTCACAATATTGCTGGAGAATATAGTAATACAAACATAGACAATGTGTAACTATTATAAATATTTCAATAAGCCATTAGCTACCTACATAGTGTACATAGTGATAACTGCGGAATTAGATTTTCTGATATTTCTTCTGTCGCAGGTAATGGCTCGATCTTCTCCATTAGATAAGCATACACTCGTGAAACATTTACGAACCACATTTCAAGAAGTTGTTGCTGTGACGGGAGATGGTACAAATGATGCTCCGGCACTCCATGAAGCAGATATTGGCCTTGCAATGGGCATTGCTGGGACGGAGGTGATACTCCAATGCTGCTTTATTATTGTCCAAGAAATTATTTTGTTCCAAACCTATGATTCTTTGGTATGCCTGAATTTTTGGAAAGGCGAGCATGGAAAAATTTTCCTTTTGAATTCGTATAAAATTTTCCTTCTCGGTATGATGTTGTTGAATCTGGAGAACAATCTTTAAGGAGGTAAGAGAAGGAACTGTCGCCAAAAGTGTAATTGGTCATCTAAACCAGTGTTATTTAAGGTGTAAAGCGAATCGTAGTGAACAAGTCTCTAGAGGCCTAAGCGAGAAGCGAGAGGCGAAGCGAACGCTTCATCGAATCGAAGCAAACAGTAAAAAAAACAAGCAAATATTTTATGATTGACACTATCACATTACAATCAAATAAGTAGATATAGAACATATTAATCAAGCAACTTAAAACAAAAGTAATGACATCAGAAATAGAATCAGCATAAGCAGAAACATGAACAGAATCAGAAACAGAAGAAGCAAAATCAGAAACAGAAACTGAAGAAGCAGAATCAGAGTCCTAGAATTTCATCTATCAGAAACAGAAACAGAAATAGAAACGGAAGCACAATCAGAGTCCCAGATTTCAGAAATCATAAACAGAAATAGAAGTAGAATAGAAACAAAAACCAGAAGCAAAAACCAGAAACAGAAACAAAGCAGAACCGAAAGAAGTAGAAGCAGAGAAGAAGTCAAAACAGAGAATCAGAACCAGAGAAATCAGAGAATCCCAGAAACAGAAACACAGAATCCCAGCCCAAATAAAACAGAAGCAGAACCAGAACCAGAGAAGAATCAGAAGCGGAAGGAGAAACAAAAATCAGAAACAGACGCAGAACCAGAAGAAGAAATTAAAATAGAGAATCAAAACTAGAGAAATCAAAGATTCCCAGAAAAATAAAAACTAAGAATCGGAAGAAGAAGCAGGACCAGAAGAAGAAGAGAAGAGGAGGGAAGAAAAGAAGAACATAACTTGTATTTTAACAAAGTCGCTTGCTTTTCTCGCCTGTCTCTTCGCTTTAACTTCACTTCACTTCACTCACTTTTGCTTCGCCTTGGCTGTTCAAGGCGACAGAGTCTTATTTCGCTTCGCTTCTCACCTAGGCGCTCGCGTGGCTTTCACAATACTGATCTAAACAGTGTGCACTCCAATCTAACCCAACATATTGGACAAATTTTTATCTCCACCACAACCATTTATTTGCTTCTTATTTCCAAGACTATTTTTTTGTGTGGTGGGAAGCATGAGGAATAGACTTCCGCTAGTACTATTACAACTATGGTTTAAGGTTGCGGTATCGGTCATTGACTCGGAGAGCTTTGAGATATCAATTGCGGCGTCGCAGTGTGGCGCATTATCAGGTGATACGGCATAAAAAAACATGTTGAATATAACAAGAGATTTAGGTTATATTGTGGTGTTGCAAAAACATATTAGCCGATTCGGGGATGATAACTTGGCGATTTGGGATTGACTGGAATATAACTCGAATGACTCGGCCGTGTCATGCAATACTCGGTTTTATATGTATAATATATTATCTAACGGTACGACTCAACCGACTTGTATCAGTATCGGGCGATACTTTGAACCATGGTTACAACTGTGGATGTCTTATACATTATGGAGCTTCTGGCTTGTAATGTAGTCTATGTAACTTCATTTGTAACTGGCTCATAGACCAAATGTTCATGATTTTACTAATGAAAAATTGGCAACATGGCTCCTTTGGATCCATATTATGATGTAAGTAATGAAAACTGGACAAGATGACTCCTTTTGATCCATATAAACATTAGAATGTAAGCTCAAATGCTGACTGTTTCGTACTTAATATTTTTGAATTTCCCATTCTTTTCTTTAAATTCTTGCTCAATTACTTTTTCATTGAAAGTAGATGAACCTTAAGTCAGATAAGGTCTGGTAGATGGTTTAACCTCTCTCTTTTTTTTTTTTTCTTATTGTTTTTATTTTTATTTTTATTTTTTGAACTTTCTATGCTTTTGATGTAGCCAGAAGATTGCTAGGGCTTGTGCCATCTGGCTCCATCTTTTGGAGTTTCGGATATCACCTTTGCTTTTGGAGCCATTATGATTTGTTTGCTTGGTTTTGTCTCGCTTTCCTTGCTACTGGTTGTGATGCGCGCGTTCTTATGTTTGCTTTTCTTCATCCGGTCCCAGTTTTGATATTTGTGTGGATGGCTTCTTGACTTACTGTAAATATAAAATAAACAAGAAGTAGGAATTATATTTTTTGTTCTTTTCAGGTGGCTAAAGAGAGTGCTGATGTCATAATTTTAGATGATAATTTCTCCACAATTCCAACTGTGGCGAAATGGGGACGCTCAGTATACGTAAACATTCAGAAATTTGTTCAGTTTCAGCTGACAGTGAATATTGTTGCCCTGATTGTCAATTTTTCTTCAGCCTGTTTAACAGGTATGCATTGATTGATCCTTATCCACTCCCATATCAGATTCCCTGTTTTTAATTTATGGTTTCCATATGTCATATTTTGTTCTCCATTTTGTGTTTGCTTGTGCTATGTGCTTCCAGGAAATGCTCCCCTCACTGCGGTTCAGCTTCTATGGGTCAATATGATCATGGATACACTAGGAGCACTTGCACTTGCCACTGAACCTCCTAACAATGACTTAATGAAGCGGTTACCAGTTGGAAGGAAAGGGAACTTCATTAGTAATGTGATGTGGAGGAACATTTCAGGGCAATCTTTATATCAGCTGATAGTAATATGGTATCTGCAGACAGCAGGAAAGGCAGTCTTTCATATCCATGGCCCGGATTCTGATTTGATTCTTAACACAATCATTTTTAACTCATTCGTATTTTGCCAGGTAAACACGAGTCTTGACATACAGCATTACAACAAATTGTTCAGTTGACTTGTGGAGATGACTTCCTTGTGTTATAATCCCTTAGTAAATCTTCTATCACTACCAACCAAAACAAAAAAAACAACACAAAACGCTTGTATTACCACCATCATCACGTCCTATTACTGGGCATGAAGTAGTTATCCTATGTTGGATTTTAACGCTTCAGTCACCTCAGGACACATTAGTTTAAGGCCATAGTATTGATGATAGCATCACATTTCATCCTACAGGACTGGTAACTCTTCCTTATGATATTAAGATGAAAGTTTAAGTCGTTAAGCATAAGCATAAAGGTAGCACCGATGATATTATATGTTTCATGGTTACAAGGGAAACTAATTCATGTAATTTTCCTAGTTGCTAAACTTACAATTTGCGGAGCCGACTAGAATAAGTCAAACTAATAGTTCTGGGTCACAATTTATGTGCCTAGTTTGCCAAAAGTTAATGCAAGTTATAAAATAATGGTGATTTTTTCTGCAGCTTTTCAACGAGATCAGCTCAAGAGATATGGAGAAGATAAATGTCTTCAAGGGCATACTGAATAACTATGTCTTTGTGGCTGTACTCATTTCCACGGTCTTCTTCCAAATTGTTATTGTTGAAATTCTGGGTACTTTTGCAAACACTTCCCCCCTCAGTTTACACCAGTGGTTTGCAAGCGTTTCCATCGGATTCCTTGGCATGCCAATTGCTGCTGCCGTTAAGATGATCCCGGTGGGATCAACATGAACTCAGCTGAAGTGAATGGGGGCGCATTGTGACTCAATTCCCTGAGATTTCTCTCGTGGAAGTGCTTTTCTACCACATTTACACTACTATCATCACTGGAGTTGATAGCATCTTTCATACAGTAAAAGCTGAAGCGTTGCAAATTCAAATGCTTAAGATCACCCACATATACAGCTGCAAAAGTTAGGTAATTTTTGTAAGCATCTTTTTTAGACTTTCATCTAACATTTTCTTTGAAGTATGGTCTGACAGAACACTTAGAAGGGTTACAATTGGATTTCTTCCTAAATCTAATTGATTTTGTAGACTATACCTTTTGATTTTTTCATGTGTTCATTCAGTGTTCTAGTGGTTGATCATGTATTTGTTGGATTATTTGCATTTATTTTCTGAACTTTGGGTTTGGTTTTGAGTAATATATTGGGCATATTTGGAGCAAGTTTTTTTAGATAAAAAGCTGGGATTTGAAAAGCTTTGACAAAAAATCAGAATTAAAAATGTTCTCTAAAATTGTTTGCGGTGTTCTTTAAAAAGTTGGAAAGGTTTTTTTTTTTTTCGGTCTGTAAAAAAAAAAAAAGCTGGAAAGGTTGAGAACGTCTATTTGGAGTGATTTTTTTTAGCTTTTTTGCCTTTTTTTATTGAAATAAAAAAATAATTATATGTATGTATAGATTATGTATAATAATTTTTAAAATATGAATTTTATATTTATTTTACGTCACTAATAATTTTTTATGAATATAATAAATTAAAAAGTTATGTGGAATTTATAACAAAACTCTCAAAAATCAAAAGAAAAGTGCATAACTCAAACCTATAAAGCTACCTATTTAAGGTAGTTACATCAAGTCCATTTTCGGTTCATCATGGTTTCTTTCAATCTGGGGCTCAAATTTTCGCTACTGGACAAACCTCTTTTATGCAAATCTTTACCCCTTGGAGAGTTGAGTGCCATCTAGCAAATATCTTTTCAGCCAGTTTAAGCGTGTCAATTGAACTCAGTATATCAGCATTAATAAAACAATCGTAGTCGGTGCACCAGATTTTCTTCTATAAGAGTATTTTTAACCCTAATTTAAATTTAAATTTAAAATTTAACCCTAATTTAAATTTAAATTTAAATTATTTTTACTTTATTAAAACTGAAAAATCTTTTTCGAAGAAATACTTTAAACTCACAACAAGTTGCCCATCCTATCTCAGTCTTCAATCTTTTTAAAATAGAGAGTATTATTAAAGATGTTCCTACCGAAAGAATGCTAAGATCAGAATTTGATTTTGACTCTACATAGCCAATGGTACTGTAGCCTATATTCTACGTGTAGGCCCGCACCCAACCTTTTTCCATAGTGCCAATGAACTTTCTTTTTTGTAACATGCATAAACATTACTGAAAATGGAGAGGCTGTAGGTGGATGTTATTCATGTCTAACAGAACACGTGAAGCATTAAATTTATTTGACTTCTTATGCTGCTGTAATTGTCCTTCAATTATTACACAAATAATTTTACAAAGAGTAGTATTAAAATTGATTTAATTTATTAATCCAATAATGTAGTCTAATAATGTTATTTTTTTTTATTAGAGGATGTCCAAGTTTGTGCAAATTATTCCCTCGAACTCAAACGATTGGCCACCAAGACTTGGTCTAATAGTGTTGTTATGATTGTAACTTTTGGACTACTCTATTCCTTATCATATCATTATGTTAAAAAATTAGACTAATTTTTTAAGTCAGAATAGAATTATTGTTTTGTAAATTAGATGATTGCAAACCTTGAATCCAACTTGAATTTTGTACCAATGTATAATTAGATGCGTGCACCTTTATTCCGACTATTTCACTATTAAAATCTATTAAGAGATTGATTCAAATAGATTGATAATTTTTAAAAAAAATTTCCCAAAAATTAGTAATTTAAAAGTAATAATAACTTCATAAACATGCTTACCCAAAAAAAAAAAAAAATTCATAAACATGACCTGTTTGCTTACGACAAGAGAGAGAAACGTCTGGACAGAGTCCACCACTACTCCGAGAAGCTAGCACTTGATCGAAAGCGCGCACGTGCCGTTGTAACCGTTTCCCAAACTCACGTGCTTTCTAAACCCACACGCCTTCTATGTGCCCGAGAGTCCCCAGCTGGCACGTAGGTCCCACATCAACACATTTTCCTCTCCTAATCTCACACCTTTCGTCGTTCCCAACATAAGGCCAATATATATTCCACGTCATCGCCCTCACACTACTTCGCTGTGCTATCTACCACCCACCGAATATTCCAAACGACCAAATTGAACAATTCCCTCTCTCTCCTCTTCACAATAAACGCACCAGTTTCTCGTGGATTCCCATTTGCTCTCCGTACATCTATACCGCCTCAAATCTAGAGAGAGAGATATCCATCGCTCTTTACAACTCCTTTCAAAAAAATCTTTCATGGATAAATCTTCATTGAATTCTACCACAGTTTCTTCGGTTCAATCTCTTCCCTCCCATTTATTTTTCTCTAAATCTTTTCATCGTTTGTTTCTTCGTCAACCTTGTAATTTCTTTTGACGGTATCGACTACGATTTGTCACGAATGGGTAAACGTAAGTTCTTTTGCCTAATTATGCGTATATATGTATCAATATGTGTTCCGATTTGTCAATTACAGAGTGTTATTTTGATTGATTAAGGTTTTGTCAAATGCCTAATGTTTCTCGTTTAATTTTGTTGGTTAAAATTGTGCGAAACCCTAGAATATGAGTTTTTGCTAAACATTCCTTCGGTTTCTAGATAATTGAGCTTAAAATCCCTGCGGTTTTGATAATTGTTTGTGTTAACGTTTTCTTTTTTCTGTTCTTGTTCAAGATTGGTGTTGAATGTGAATTGAGTTCTTGTTGTAGGAAATTCTCAACGTAAGAATGCTGCGATTTTGGATAGTGACGACACCGATAGCGTGAGTTCGTCGTCTACTTTCCGGTCGGATAATGTGCTTGTGTCCGGTGCTGAGGACGTTCAGCTTGAGAAAGAGAGTATACTTGATCAGTGTTTGGATGCTTTATATGAGAAAAGGTACTGAATGTTAGTTCAAAAGAAATTTGTGTACGTTGCAGTTGTAAATTGTGCCATAAAGGTTAACAAATCCTATGTTATAGTGAGATTTACTAACTTTGGAGTCTGGCTAGACTTGCAATCAAATGTGGATTGCTGTTTTATTATCTTACCTAAATATATGAATGTCGTCTTATTATGTATATCTGTTGTTTATAGGGGGTCCACAAGAGAGAAAGCTTTGGCTTCAATTATAGAGGTCTTTAATAGATACTTGCAGCACGAGTTTGTGGAAAAGAAGTAAGCTGTTATGCTGTTTTTTTTTTTTAATCTTATTTTGTTGGACATTGTTCTGTTATGAGTTTCTCTTAGGCTATGTGAGCCTGTTTTGAGAACTTCCCCAAGAGAAAAGGTGGGTCAATCATGGTTTGTTTTCATTGGATATCATTTTGCGAAGATTAGAATCTGTTTCTAGCTGATATAGTTTCAACTGGTTTCTTTGCCAGTGAACTTCTATCTCTTTTTTGTTTATGCAAGCAATCTAAGTGAACTTCCATAGAATATCATGTGGTAACCACAATTCAGTCCGTGCTACTTGTCCGAATATATCCCTTTGCACTTTGCTTCTTGGGATTCTTTTAAGCTGGTTTACTAGAGTGCAAAAGTATAAAATGAAATATAAAAAAAAATAAAAAGAACAGGAATGCTATTAGATATTGATGCATCTGTCTGCCTGAAAGCTATTAGAGAATGATGCAGCAATTGGCCTGTTGGTCTTTTTTCAATAACACCCCTGTGCTTTCGAGGTTCTCACAGTATTATTGTTTTTGTGTAGCTTTGCAACATTACTGCATCAATTTCTGAATTCCATCAAGAAGGGGTCTGCCAAAGAGATAGCTTTAGCATCTCATGCAATTGGTTAGTGGTCATACTCTTCTTTTGACGCATTTGGGCTTTATAGCTTGGTTTGAAGCACATTTAAAAATTTTTGTTTTCTTTTGTTAGGGTTGTTGGCTCTAACAACTGGTCCTGGGGACAAAGCAAAAGAAATATTGGAAGAATCAGTCTCTCCTATTTCACAGGCCCTTAAATCTCTGTCTGAAACAACTAAGATATCGTCGGTACGTATGATATTGGTGCATTGGTTGGTTTCCTGATTCCAATTTGTATTTTTTTCTCATGAATTAAATTTGTATTTAATTTTCGCACAAGATGCTGAGTCACAAATCTGTTGTTTTATGGGCAATGTGCATCCTTAATGCTAGTTACTGGAGTGTTTGGCTATAATCACTTTTGTTGGTGGCGAAGAGGCGGAGGAAACAGAAAAATCAATGCAAATAATGTGGCAAGTGGTTCATCCAAAACTTAGCTCTAATGTATGTATCCACATCTCATTCTCTTTCATTTGAAACACATTGAATCTCACCATGTTTACATGCTTTTAGTATTTGTGCATTTGTTCACAAATTGGTCTGTTGTGCACTGGATCAAGCAATATTATTTGCTATTTGTATCTGTTTTTGTTTTGCAAGTTGATCAGTTTTTGCTGGTGATATCTTTGATTTTGTTTGTAATGGTTGTTGTCAAACCTGTGGACTTTTGATGCATAAATCTGCTACTCTTCATTTGATGATTAATCTATATGTGTTTGTTTTCATTGGAATTGTGATGGAAAACTGCTGGTGGACATTTCAGGTTGTTGCCACTAAACCTTCACCGGTTATGATAACAGCTGTGGTATCTGCTTGGTCATTTCTCCTAACAACTATGGATGGATGGACACTTAACTCTAAAAGTTGGCAACAGTGAGTAGATCTTGATCTTAGCTCAACGATCTCTCTCTTTCTCACACACGTACTTGCTTACCTACACGCACAGGCCCAAATACACATACCCATATATTTGATCACTGCCATAAGAGAGTTTCTAAACTTTGCTGGATCTAAGAAAACACCTACACCTATGCTAGGTGCCATTAAACTTGGGCTTCATTACACACAAGTGCCAACAGTTGCAAGGCCAACAATTGGTGCCTAGCAGATTCAGCGAGAAATTAACTTACCTTTTCTTGTGCAGGTCAATTTATTATTTTTCTACCCTGCTAGACAAGGATGATAGGTCTGTACGCATTGCAGGTGGTGAAGCACTTGCCTTAATTTTTGAGATGGGAAATTTGGATAAGTTCTGTGGTGAAGCTAAAGGATCTAATGACAGCTCCACTATTGAAGGGAAAAATTCTCAGGAGTTTGTACATATCCAGGGATTGAGGGAAAAAATCCTTAATCAAGTGAGAAACCTTTCCGTAGAAGCAGGTGGTAAAGGTTCTGCTAAGAAAGATCTTAACCACCAGCGGAACTCGTTTAGAGATATTCTAGAACTGCTTGAGGTACTTTATTATCAGTGTCGGAATATAAACTTATGACCCTCTACCTGTGTGTTAGCTGGTATAGTGACATTTCTTTAAATGAACATCAGGATGGCTATAGTCCAGATACCTCATTGAAGATTGGTGGAGAGTTGCTAAGCACAACAACTTGGGCCCAATTGATACAAGTTCATCCTCTTCTTTTATTGATGTTTTTTTTAATTTTTAAAATTTTAAATGTGAATGCCCGCACATTCAAAAGTTTTATAATCTTTCTTTTGAAACAGTTGAACTTTCTGAAGCATTTTCTTGGCGGAGGATTTGTTAAGCACATGCAGGTTCTGTTTTTATTCCATATCTTGTTCTCCAGAATCTTTTGGGCGAAAATTCTTGTTGATCTCTATTATGTTCTGACAGCCAATTATTTATCCTTTTTGTTTCTGGATTAAAACAGGAAAATGAATTTCTTCACGACCTATTTGATTTCACACCTAAGTCAAAACTTCTTTTAGGAACTGAGGGCCGTATATCTGCTATTGAGAAGGCAAGTTCACACCATTTTACTGCATTGTTTTGCTATTCGTAAGTATAAGTTTTTGGTGGAATACATATGTAGCTGTTGAGTATATTGTACTGACAAGTAGGTATTTTTGACGATTTAAAACAATTGTATCCATTTGTATGACATAATATGATATGATACTCTGCGCAATGCTATGACCCTTGTTACTTGCATACTGTGGGTTGCATATTGTAGGTGGGAGAGTTAAAGAAGGCTGACACACGCGTCTATACCAAGTAATCAAAAAGGATGAGTAGGATAAATAGATGAGATGCAAGACACTCGAACAGCCTGTTAACGAAGGGACTAATTGATTGGGCAGCGTAGGTGAATAGAGTGAAAAATGCTCTCACCAACTAGAACTCTTATCCTCCGCAGTGGGGCGATTAATACGAGTATTTATGGCACAGTGCCCAGGGTCGGGCTGTCCGCCGCGATCCTTTAACACGTTAACCCACAACTGCCTTAATCACGGCGATACCAATGGCCGCTAACTGTGAGTTACTTGTTCCGACATTAATTTCTTAGATGTGATGTTTCCTCCAAACGAAGTTTGGACGTGGTTTTGGGGAAAGTGCAACAGCTAAGGCGAAACGGGGGTTCCCAAGGTTAATGATCACTACTGGCCACTGAGGGACCCTGACCTCGAGAAGTCTATGTACACGATGCCCTTAGCGCTCTCCTACCTGGTGTCCTCCTTTCCCTCTTTGAACCCTTCCTCGAGACTGTTGTCAAGGGGTCCGATAGTATAAACCTACATAGTTTCGATCCTTCAATTACTAATCCACATGTCTCATTATACCATATGTTAATTCGGAACAATAATCCCAATTATTTTAGGAGTCCCTCCAGATCTCAATCAAACACATTCTAGTAGGAAGTGAGCCATACACTGGGAGGCTTGCTCGAGTAGACTAAACCGTCGAGATCTTGTCTTAAGTCGAGGCTGACAATCACGCTCGTCAACGCCCGTTGCTTAGTTCTCTTTTGAGGAGGGCCACACTGCCAGTCCCTAGGTGAATCCCTCCTCTTAGTCCAGTGGGTCAGTTGAGTAACTGTGTCCAGTAGATCGAGGATACCAATTCCTGTTGGCTATGCAATCCTAGGCTTGTGTCTTGTTTCCGCAGTAGGGGAGGCGGGTCATGCCAAGGTTGCCCTTGACCTTTTGCGGTGCCATTTTCCCATTTCCAATGTGAAGAGGATGGATCCCGCCCTTCGTGGGGATGGTGCCTGTCGCAGCACTGGAATGCCTGTCGTGGCACTAGTGTGCCTGTCGTGATGTTGTTGTCCGTACCAATCTTCCTGGGCTTGTTGGGCCCCACTGTCATGTAAACTGATGACTGTTGCCAATTTTGTCATGTTATGGTGTAGACATGTGTTATGAATTTACCAGGTACTACACATATCATAGTTGCATAAACATTTAATAAATTTATGAGAGCTGTTGGCAAGCTTCTACATTTTGAATTTAGAGGCGGCTTGGTTTCATATTGGGCATCCTCTATGAACTCTTTTTTTGCTTTGTGAATTTACGCTGCAATTTTGATCTCCTACATTTTATAAATATTAAAAACTGATCTCACATTCAGGATAATGTGGGAGAAGAATGTAATGCTCTTTTTATTGAATTCTGTTGATTTTATACGACTTAGGTGTGTGCACTGTTTCTTTTTGTATTTATGCCGGATAGAGGTTGCTTTGCCCCCCCCCCCCCCTCTCTCTCTCCCCCTTCTTATCATTCTCATTCTCTCTCATACGAAGGTAATTATCTTTTCATGCAGAGGCTGTACAAATCTCCAAACTCGGTTCTTAGTAAGGCAAGGACCCAGTTCTTGAACAAGCAGCGTACATTGTCGCAGGTAATTTCTTTTCTATAGATGAAGTCCACTAACTCATTCTACTGTTTAGTTGCATGTGTTTTGCCTGTTCAACAAGTTTTCAATATTAAAAGAATGGGATTATGAAATGTTCTAGACAAATAATTATTTTTTTAATATGTTTCTGCTTGGATACGTGACCTATGCTTGCCTGATGATTAGGATTCTGTTTGTAATCGGGTGACCTGCAACTACTTGGTCATTTCTTAGGCTTTAGAAGTTGTAAAAGATTTAGTGACGAGAATGTTGTTTTCTCAATGTATGGATCTAGATATCCTTTAGTATTTTTTCTTGCCATTTTCCTGGTAGATCCCGCACCATGCATCAGTGAGGGACTCACTTATATACAATGATCTATCAAGAACGAAAATAGAGGATATATATGAGAGAGCTCACCCCCACCATGTATACAATGCTAATGTCAATGTATGCCGTTAAGCCTATGTGAAGTGTGTTGATGGTTTGCCTTTGTGCAGGATAAGAACACTGGCCGCTTTGCCGTTGGTTTAGGTGAGGAGGAGGTTTAGAGTCGAGACGCAGCTTAATGCTCATGCTGAACAATGCAGGATTAAATGACCCAGTATAGGCTTTAGTAAAACATTAAATCAACATTATTGGTATTCAGATTTATGTGGAAATGATATTAATCTAGTTAGTGATCGCTAGTCCAATGGACGTTATACACATTGATCAGGGCAAATTATGTTGTATCTTGTTAAAAGTTATTTTTACACTAAATTCATGGGGTAACAATGGAATGAATGTCATGTCATGTGGTTGTGCGTGGGTGCTTATAGGGTGCAACTTGGGTTGGTTGAGAGGTTAATCCTAACTCAATCCTAAATATATAGTCTTTAACCCTAACCCTAATCCTAATGTTACCTCAACCTGAGGTACTCAACTCAAGTACTACCCGAGTTTAATTCGGATGAGCTGGAGTTGGATTTGAATTATTTAATTCAGGCTGATTTGGGGTTAAAAATTGGGTTGACTTTGGTTACTTAATTTAGATTAATTTTTTGAAGTGTAAATTTGATTTTTTCAAGTGTAGATTTGATTTTTTCAAGTGTAGATTTAATTTTTTTTAGTGATTTGAGATGAAGGGTGAGGCGCAAATGAAGAGAGAAAGGGTGAGAGAAGGAGGAATGATCTCAGAGAGAGGGAGGCTGAGGAGATGAGACGACTCAGATGAATGACGATTGAGAGAGGGAGGCTGAGAGAGGAAGGAGTGCCATAGGGATGAAAACTTGAAGTGAAATAAAAATTTTGACTCTAAAGAGTGAAGATAAATACTAACCTTAGTTAAATATATTTATATAGTTATGTATATTCTGATTCAACCTGATTTAGTAATCGGGTTCAATCATATTTTAATATTCAAATTGAATTTTATAATTCGAGACCTCAACCTGAGACTTGCTTAATTTCAATTCGGATTGAAGTTTTTTTGCCCAAATTCAACTGAAGTATTAAAAATTTTAATTCAAGTCTTGTTTTTTTCGTGTTGGGCTCGGGTTGGCCCGCCCAATTTGCACCCCTAGGTGTTTGTCTTTCTAATGTTGAAATGGAGATAATCAAATTGGGGATTAGAACCGATACCTTTGGTATCATACCAACAAATATATTTTAGTTATCGTATTTGAGTTAATTATAACCATTGATTGTAGAAATAATAAAAAAGAATAATACAATAATAAAAAGTTTACCCGTGTCAATTTCAAAGTAGTCTAAAACAAAAGGTATAAGATCAAAATGTTATTTTTTGATAATGTAGTTTAACCCTATGTATGAAGTAGCTTTGGCCTTAATTATATTTTGAGACAGGACTGGAGCCATTAATGACAATGTTCAAGTCCTTCGATAGACATGGATTTAACATCGCTGGCTCCACCTACGATGAATAGCTAAGCGACTAAATAATGGTTCAAAATTTAGTAGCTCCAAGAGATGTGTCCTATTTAGCAAATATGATGGTATTTGATAAAATTAAAAACTAATTATGGTAAGTTAAATGTTGGATACTCAATTTAATAATTTTAAAAGTAATTGGCATGTATTGAAATTTATACTCTGTTTCATATGATGGAAAAATATAAAGATGAAAAGTTAGAATGATTGAAAAGTGGATGATGAGTTTTTTTTTTTAACTCATTAAATTCAATCTCTCTAAAATTAGAAGGAAAGTAAATTAAAAGTGAATTATTTGTGTTGAAATGTATCTTATTTCTGTACATATCCTTTGATATATAAATACAATGACAAAATATATATATTTATTTTTTAAAAAAAATTAAAATAAAAAAATATTTTTTTCTATTATAGTCAGGGGTAGAAATTTTTGTCTCAATACGATTATACGATTCGAACACGACATAAATTTTATAATACGAATTTGATTATAATTCGACACGAACTCGAAAAATGACCTAACACACGAAAACGAAAATATAAAAAGGTTCATATTCAATTCAACTCATTAAACCCAAAATTGGCACCATCAACCTGTTTATTTAAGAATAAACGTTTTCTCTATTTTCTCATTTGCATGGTAACACGAAATTAACATGTTTAACTAGTATTATAGACATAAAATGTTAATAATTTGTAACTATTTAATAAGTACTGACATAATTATTATATAAAAAAGATATTTTTATTTATTATTATTATCATTATATTTATTTAAGTTAATTTTTAGTTTGTAGGAAAAGTATGAACATTGATTCAATTAAGTAAAAATAGAATATTAGCATTAAATTTTTTATTCAAAGTTTATATAGGTCAACATGAATACGTACATAATACAAAAATAAACAGGTCAATTCAATATGACACGATTACTTAAATGAGTTGAGTTAGGTTTGACTAATGTATGACACAACCCACAATGAACCTGATACGACAAGACTCGATTGTAACCCTTAATCTTAATAAGCACAAAAAAAAATGATTAATTTTATGTTCCATCAATCCTATCAAACACAGAGGAAATAAAGTGTATTACTCATACTTTTCTTTCTTGATTAATAGAAAGTGTATCCCTTCTACTTTTCATTTCACCTACTTTCCATATTTCCTACCGAACAGAGTGGATATTAAACATAAGATTGAAATTTATGATTTTCTAAGTCTTCCACCCCCAGCACCTCACCTGTCACCCACCACTCTACATGCACCCCTTTTACTTTACCACTATTAGTGTCACAACTCTGCCACCACCACCTCCATATCCATCATCACAATGGTGACGACAGTGGTTGAGGTGATAGTGTTTACTGTGTTGGTAATAGAGTTACTGAAAGTGGTAATAACGATGGTGGGGTGGTGTGTGATTATGTGATGGTAGTGGTGTGACAGCGGCTTGTTGGTTGTGATTGTGGTGGTGCTGGTGACAGCTATAAGATGATGGTAATGGTTGGAGATTTGGAGTGATGGTGGTGACAATCATAATGGTGGTTGTGGTTGTGATGGTGATGGTAGCAATGAGATGTTGATAGTTGTTGGTTTGATGGTGGTGGTAACAATAGCATTGGGATGATGGTCATAGTTGGTTCGATGGTGATGACGGTCACAATGGTGGTAGACAGTGGTATTACTTTGGTGAGGTGGTAGTGGTGGGGAGGTGGAGAGTGAGGGTATAGGATGAATGTCGATCGTAATTGCAGAGGGTACATTAATTCATGATGAAAAAAATATTTTGTAGTAGGTGTGGGATCTTACACTTAATATTTTGATTTAGTTTTGGGAGGTGCCTAAATTTGTTAAGTAATGTAAATTTGAGATACCAAACACATTTGTAGGGGTGGGCTTTGACTTCGCCAAAGTGAATTTTCCCATTAGACTCAACACTATATTAACTTTACCAATCAGAGTCCATGCGGAGTCGGAGCAAAGTTTCAAAAATGGACACAATCCAATGCTACCGTTAGAACCACCAATTTGTATTGTTCCATGAATTAAGTCGATCGGTAAACTGACTCATCACTGTTCCACATCCGACCGGGTCGCATTGTCGGCCCCCATTCATTTTTCTCTCGACAATTTTTAGCACTCTTTGACTCTCTTTTTGAAGTCATTTTCATCTTTCTTTCGCGGTACTTGTTTGTTTTTGGTCTCTCACTTATATTTAGCCTTGGACGGAATTTACCACCTGATTTGGGCTGCATTCCCAAACAACCCAACTCGACAACAACGCCTCTTGGTGCGATAGGGTTCGGGCACAACGGGGCTCTCACCCTTTTTGGCACCCCCTTCTAAGGGACTTGGGTTCGGTCCGTCGCTGAGGACACTTCTCCAGACTATAATTCAACGGCGTAACCATCCGATTTTCAAGGTGGGCTATTCCTAGTTCGCTCACCGTTGGTCCGTTACTAGTAGAATCCTTGTAAGTTTCTTTTCCTCTGCTTATTGATATGCTTAAACTTAGCAGGTAATCTCGTCTGACCTGGGGTTGCAGTCGAAGCACCATCGTTGAAGAAGGCGCACAGGGTCACGGTTGGAGTTCGCTACAGACTTAGTGTCTCACGACATGATTCGAGAAGTCTTTCAACCACCACTTGTCGTGACATTCATCTTCAAGAACTCATTTTTTGGGCCAACTGTGCATTGTCGTGGATGGGAGGCCAATTTTAGTCCCAACTTCCATTATATCCTACTAGGCATTAGGGTTCGGGTGACTTGATACGTGACGCTCAGGCAGACGTGCCCTTAGCATAATGGCTTTAAACACAACTTGCATTTAAAAACTCAATGGTTCACAGGATTTTACAATTCACATTAAGTATCACATTTCGCTACATTCTTCGTTGGTACGAGAGCTAAGATATTCATTGTTGGGAGTCATTTTAGATTCAAAAGATGCAAATGCCTCTGTGCATGCCGCAAATGGGTTATTGGGAAACTAGCTCTTCAGTTAGGGTTCCTTGGTGTAGATAGTGTTGGGGTTCGTTGTCGAGAACTTGAACAAATCTCTGCTGGGGAACACGAGCAAATCCCCGAGGCGAGGAAGTGTTTTAGGGGTTCACACATCCCTTCTCAACCTCGAACATATTTTGACAAGTTTGTTGGTCTACTTTGCAAGCATCAATAATGATCCTTTTGCAAGTTCACTTATAGAAACCTTGCCATGACTTCTCCTTTCTCTAAATGATAAGGTTCAGTGGATTTATTGCGATGTTGTCGACAGCAAACCACCCATGTCGCCATGATCCGAACACTTCATCGGGCCATTCAATCAATAGGAGCGACGGGCGGTGTGTACAAAGGACAGGGGAGTAGTCAACGCGAGTTGATGACTCGCGCTTACTAGGACTTCCTCGTTTAAGACTAACAATTGCAATGATCTATCCCCATCACGATGTAGTTTCAAAGACTACTCGGACCTATTAACCAAGGCTCTAAACTTGTTCAATACATTAGTGTAGTGCGTGTATGACCCAAAACATCTAAGGGCACCACAAACCTGTTATTTGCTCAAACTTCCATGGCCTAGGAGGCCATAGTCCCTCTAAGAAGTTGGCTGTGAAAGGATACCTCAACATAGCTAGTTAGTAGGTTGAGGTCTCATTCGTTAACGGAATTAACCAGACAAATCGCTCTACCAATTAAGAGCGGTCATGCACCACCACTCATAGAATTAAGAAAAAGCTCTCAATTTGTCAATTCTTACTATGTCTGGACCTGGTAAGTTTTCTCGCATTGAGTCAAATTAAGTCACAAGTTCCACTCTTGGTGGTTCCTTTTCTTCAATTCCTTTAAGTTTTAACCTTGCGAGCATACTCCCCCCATAACCCAAAAAACTTTGATTTCTTATACGGTGCCAATGGAGTCTTGAAAGCAACATTCGTTGATCCCTAATCGACATCATTTATGGTTGAGACTAGGACAATATCTAATTGCCTTCGAGCCCCAACTTTAGTTCTTGATTAATGAAAATATTCTTGTTAAATACTTTCATAGTTGTTCATCTTTCATAAATCAAAGAATTTCACATCTGATTATGAAATACGAATGTCCCCGACTGTCCTTATTAATTATTACTCCGAACTTAAAGACCAATACAATAGGATTGAAATCCTCAGAGAGAGAGAGATAGAGTTATTATTTCTGTTTGAGATCATCTTCAGGCGATAGCTTCAATTAGAGTCGCTGAGATGTGGGATCTAAGATCTGAGAGCTTCAATCGGAGAGGTTGTTCATTGTCAACTGAGAGAGAGAGAGAGATGGATGAGTTGTTGTCGTCGACTAAGAGAAAGAGACAAAGAGGTTGATGTCATCGATTAAGAGATGGATAGAGATGGAGGGGCTCTTTGCCTGTCATCTTGTGTGTGTGTGTATGTGAGAGAGAGAGAGATAATGGAGCGCATATATTGGATTTTAGGCCTCGTATGGTTTTCATCTTAGAAATTATTTTCTTTTTTCGGAAACTATTTATTAGGGAAAAACTGTTTGATGAGTTATTTTTTGTTTTTTTTTTTGAAAACTGAGAACAAAAAATTAGATAGATTTAGAGAACAAGTTATAACTATTTTGTATATTTTTAGAAACAATATTTTCAAAATTTAGAAAATATCACCACCACTACCACCACCACCACACTCCCTCCACCACATCATCACCACCCCACTTCCACTGCCACTGCCACAATATTTTTGTTTTTATTCTTTTTTGGGTTATTGTTCAAATAAATTTTACTGTTTCTATTTTGTAGAATTGATTTTGGAATCATAAAACTAAATAAGTTCTATGATACAAAAAAAAATAATTTTTTAAAATTCTTTCTAAAAATAATTTTTGAATATTTTTTTTTGAAACGTAAAGCAAACAGGGCCTAATCTTTTAGATTTAGAGTTTTGCACTTTTGCTCATGCTCCTCTTACCTTTTTTCGAATTCATCCTTTAACTCTTATATATTTATACAGTCATTAAATGTGATTTTATTTCAAAACATAAAAATATATTACATAATTTATAATTACAATTATTATTTAATAAAAGTCAAAATTAGAGTTTTTTTCAAAAAAGATTTCAAACTTCGACTCCAACAGAGGCGAACCAGAGTCGAAGTCGAAATTTTGAATTCTTGCATACTCCTACACATTTGGTTGAAAAAGTGTGAAATGTTTTATGTTTTAATTGTTGAATTAAGTTATCAAATGCAATGGAAGTAAAAGGGAAAAAAAAAATCCTTTTAACCAAGGATCTAAGGGCTAAAGTGTAAAGAACAAATATATCATGGCTACATGAGTATATCCAATGCTTATTGGCTTTTGAGAGCATCGTGGTATAACCATTGAAGTGAAATCGAGACCTCATATAGTGAATGGAATTTTTTAATCATATGCTCTATGTTTGGGTTCTTAATATTAGCTCTACCCCGTTGACAAATTTATGTGATTTGACCAACGTAAGAAATAATATTCCTTGAATCTAATTTCTTGAATTAATTTATAGCTACCTTTATATTGTTAGTGATGGACAGGTAAACATGTCCACCCCATTGTTTAATGGGTTGGGTTAAGTTGGCCCAACCCTTAAACGGAGCCCATCTTTTAACTGCATTATTCTTGTTTCATTGAGATTTGAAATTTTTTATTTGTATTTAATTTAGAGGCTTAATTATAGTTGTTGCACGACTCCAATAAATTGGGTTTCTCATTAGACTCTAAATTAAGTCTCTATAATATTGCATTTGTGATCCGGGATACCCAACATAATCTTAAGAGTAATATTACTTGGACATAAAATGTTAACTTGATTAATCACTGTTATTGATTTAATTTTGGGTCTCAGTATTTATTCAAACACTATGTATTCAATGATTATAATTGATCCAGTCAACATTTTAAGTTTAAATAATATTTTTCTAATCTGAATGGAACCCTTTAGATGCGGCTTTCCTTTGAAAACTCCTGATTGAAAATCTTTGCTTTTACGGGCACTCCAAACTTTATTCTTGTCTAAAATCAGAATAATGTTATTGTGATATAAAAATTTGACTTAATTTTGATATATCGGTTGTGGGCTAGAAACCCTCTCTTTGGGCCGTTAGTGTCCTGCGGTCATGATAATTGTAATAGGGAGGCAGGGGACCGAGCTATCTCACATCAGATAGCTTTGGGTGTGTGAGTGTGTATATAAGTCTCCACTTGACCTTTACTCTGCTAGAATAAATGATTAAGTGTGAATCAAATTTTTTTTTTTTTTTTGATACCCCATTAAGTTAGTTTTTGAGATCCGAATATTGTTACTTTTTAAATAAACTCCAAAACTCAAACAATGTTTGCCACTCTCAACTACCTATCTTTGTTCAAACATTTGAGTTCATGGTACTTTTCCTCTGAATTGATCTTGTGAACCACTAGGTTCTTACAGAAGACAATGGTTTTTAACCTTTGACAATTGCAGTTAGTCATTAGATACTTCTATGTATTTTTGAACAAGCACAAAGCTGCCTCCTTTGATAAACATGAATATTTGTAGAAGTTATTGTAAGAAAATCCTTTCAGATGTTACATTACATAAGAAATGCCCCTCATAATCGAAAATGGAGATATTGAATTATATATTAACCATTACAAGTCAGCATATGTAATTTCTTTTTCTCTCCCTTTTTACAGTCTCGTGGACGGACAAAAGAAGGGAAGTTACAAAACGGGATCGACTAATCAAAAGAAAAAGTTCCAACAGCTCCCTCCAAAACTATAGGGTGGGCAAAATCTTCTGGTAGAGACCCATGTCCATTCCATTGTAAGCAATGGGAGCATACATCCACAGATCATCAGAGCTTAGTAACTGCAGAAATAAAGAGGATATAATTTAGTAAATAATTCTTGTAATTTAAGCAAAAACCGAAAAAAATGAACTTTTTTTTGTAGCTTATGAAGGATGATTGAATCCACTTTATTCATACCTTAATTTGAAGCTGTAGAAACTTGACATAATGAACTGCCTCTTCAAGCATTGTGCTAATGTCAACCTGATATGAACACAAAAAAATCAGTTAAGACTAAGAGAGAGTTCAATATAGAATAGAAGTAAAGGTTACATGAGATTGGTCTATGAGGGAGTCTACTATTTAATGTTTACCTTTGTTCCATTTGGGACAAGGTTCTGGAGGATTCTCAGTCTCTCATTGATCCTTTCTCTTCTCTTCTGCAAGATTGGGAAGACATGATATGAGCACAGATAATAAATTATATATGCAGAAATGTGGTAAATACAGAATACTCAACCCAGAAAAATTTCTATGTCATGCTTGTGGAGATTGATTTTTACCCTTGCATAGAGGCTTTGGGGGTCGGTTGCGGATCCTCTACTGGCTCTTGTTTTCCCATTCAAGTTGAGAGCTGATGAACCTTTCGAGTCCGAAGTTGCTGCCCCATTTAGGTCCTGGGAAGCATTAGAATCATCCTCTGAACTGTAACAACTAGAGCTTGGTCCAATTGGTCCAGCATTAATCTCTTCTTCTTCTTCTTCATTGCCTCTCAAACTAAGCTTCTGGCTCTTCTTTGGCTGAGCATTCTTTTTATTTTTCTGTGACTGCAGGAAGTAACAATAATGTATGAGAAATCATGGTTAAAATTAAGTATAGTATTATACATTCCTAATAGATTTTTTGAAAAAGGTAATAACACTTTTCATATCATTTTAAGAATTTCATGCGAGACTTACGTTTCTTGAAACTCGAGATTTCTTCTTGGGATTCTCCATTGAGAGGCCATTGATGTTATATTCTCCTTTGGTGGGTAGTTCTTGCGTCTCAAATTTTCTTTTGAGCTGTGGTTCTTTGCCTGAATCAGCACTAGCTGTATTCCCCAATTTGTCACTGCTAAACGCATCTTTCAAACATAGAACATCTTCAATGGCATCGTCACGAAAAACCGGGGCTAGCAAGTTGGTTTTGTCCTCCATTACACATAAATTCATGAACTCATGTGTATTATTTGTTTCTGGAATAAAACTAGAATCACTGAAGTGGTGGTTCTCATGGTACCCAACGGGAAACAAGACACCATTACTGTCATCGTCACCATTGCTACCTTCTCGAGAAAAACAGTGAACGTTAGTGTTAAGAGTATCAGAAAAATTGAATAAGCTCTCATCAAACCCAGTGACGTTTGTATTAGCTTCATCAGGGGACCAAAATGTTGATGGAGCTCCAAAGCTCAAACCACCATCATGATGATCACTTGGAAATAGGCCATGACCATGCCACAGCAGCGCAAAATCGGCTTCTTCACCAGAGAACATTCTGCTTAAGGAATCCCACTCTTCATCAAGAAAAACTCCCACAGGTTCCATCTGTTTTCCTGCAATTCGAAACCTACCGAAATAAAGGGTGTTCTGATCTCTAGTGATAGTGCTAAAACAAGCTTGATCAGGCTTGGAAATGAGGGGGAAATTGGAGACTTATTTATACCCAAGCATGATAAAGAATGTTGGTACTTAGTAAGGATTGACTTGATTTTGTATATTCAAGAATTCTTAATCCCTAATCATTATTCTGGGGTAGGTCCTAATAATTCTCTATAGGGTAATCTCAGGAGTCCACTGTGGGGGCCAACCCCAGGCAAAGTACAACTCAGAGGGGGACCAAGTTCATGACATGATGGAGTAAAATATCACCAGCTTTTCAACGGCCTTAAACCAGCTTATACTTGCTAAAAATGCAATCGAACTGAGAAGAGGGTCTAACTGTCTTAATCCAATGATTGTGAGGAGACTGATTACGGCAAATTATGGGTTAAATAACTGTATAATTAGGTAGTCTGAGGAGAGAGAGAGAGAACTTGTACTTCTGGCATTGGAAGAACCTGGGAAGTTTTATTGAATATTATAAGCAGAGGGAATTCTCTTGAGTGATAAACAAAATGAATCCTGAGGAAGGCTTGATCGTGGAGACGAGTCTGACATTCTTTATAAAACTTGAAATCCGACACAGTAACCGTGAGGCTCGGTTCATGTCCTCTCCAATGGCCTAAACTTAATACATGAGCTTACTATGATACACTCTCTATTGCATTAGGAAGAAAAGATGCAATGTTCAAGTATATATTAGAAAGTACAAATCCTATTCTTGAGGCAGGCCCTACAGTGAGGCAGTGAGAGTTCACCCCCACCCACCCAATTACAGGGGCATTGGGGCAACTACTGCAAATCATCACTTAATTCCTCTTATTTTCACTCTATATCAATCCTCATCCTTTTTAGGCCTTGAAACAAACCATCGTGCACTTTGATTTTTCTTGTAACTTTGTTTCTGAATACTTAATCCTCTTCATTACATAGACCAATTAGCAAGTCACTCACTCTTCGGGAACTCAACGAAATGGAAATTTAACTAATTATCAGAGTATGGAAATTTAACTAATTAATTGAGATCATATATTTTTGAATGGTAAGTAATTAGTTAGGTAGGTTAAGGTATTTCATGTCAATAAAACAATTAGTTTATTAAACAACATGAAATCATTCCTGTTCTTGGGAAAGCACAAAACCCAGCTGTAATAACTTGGTTTTAAGATTATTAGATCAGGAAATAAACCTCAAATCCTAGCTAGACATTCCATGAATCCAAGCAGTAATGGATTCAGATTACCTGAACTTAGACATTAACCTCCAGTTCACACCTTAGATTCCGCCGAAGCTCACGGTTCATTCCTACGCGTCAGATAGAGACTGTTTTTGACATTTGTACATACACACATTCTCTCTCTCTCTCTCTCTCTCACCCACCCACCCACACACACACACACACACATTCATATTAATAAAGATTTTTATCTTCAAGGAAAGTTATGTGGTCTTTTGAAGGTTGCACCGCCCATTGCACGATCTCTCTGAGAAAACATTTAAACCCAAAGCCTCTGAAAATGGAGAAAATAAAATCTGATACTTCCAAACAGGAGAGAGATTGGAAAACCTAAAAAAAAAAAAATCAGAGTTTTTCCGCTTGGAAACTGTGTTTTGGCCGGCCTTGCACGACTAGGGTTAGGGTTTTCTGCTGAAGAAGAAGAAGTCACCCACGTCCAAGTTTGTACCTCTTCATTATGAACAAGAGGTAAAGATGACAGCTAGTTTTCTCCCTATCAAACTACCAACAACAAAAGACATTAATTTTGTCTTAGCCACACATCACAAGCCACGTGATGATCCCATATTCAGCCACGTGTTCCAATCTTTGGGGACACTTCGGGCCACCCTCCACCATTGTTGTAGGTTCTATTAGAAAAATAAGTAGGTGAGACGATTCTCTACCACCCGAAAAAATTTGACTCTTGATATCAGTAATGGGTTAAGAATAATGTTATTTAAAATTAAAAAATTAATTTAATTTATTTATATAATGATGTGATTTCATAAGAGTTATCGGATGAACATCAAATTTTTATAGTCGATGAATTCTACAATCAATTCAAAAGTTATAGATAATTAAGCCAATAAATTATATTAATAAATTAGGTCCTAATAACATTGCTCATAAATTAATTGTTGGAAGAGAGGGAATAATATACAATTTTGATCTTCTGCCCTATGACATGTACAACCTAAAATGTAGATGCTCCTGGAATTTTGCAACTTATTTTTTGTTTTTGGGATTTTTGCACTCTCTATGCCAAAAAATATCTCGATTCTTATTTTTCATCTTGAAAGATTTTTTTTTTTTTCATATTGTATCATGAATGTTATAAATTAGTTCTAATGTGACCATCGCATTAACGTCTATTTCAGATTCTATTAAAAATTAATGCATATGTCACCCAATGATATAAATGGTGAATTTATATTTTTGTCAAAGTGCAGCACACATAGGTGGCAAGTGCCTCAATTTTTAACCAAATTTGAAACGGAAGTTAGTTAGATGGCTACATTAGAATTAATTTATGACATTGCAGAGTGCATTGCAAAAAAAAAAAAAAAATCCTTTTGGAATACAAAGTGGGAATTAAGACATCTTTCAAGATATAAAGTGTAACAAACCCTTTGTTCTTTCCGAAGCAATATATTTTGGAATTCGTTGTTAACTTTCAAGTTCAGTTATTTGCATATGGACAAGTTGGAAAACATATAATCAATTCCAACCAACAAAAAAAAATATAATCAATCTTCAAGCCATTGTGATCGATCGTTGAGCTTGAGAGAGTAGTTGGCATAAGCCTGAATACCCTGTAACAAATATATATATATATATATATATATATATATGCTCTATCACCAACATAAATTTAATTAAACATACAATAGGGGTATCTGTTGATGTGATAATAAACACCCATATAGCCAGGAGTTTGCTTCTCACAATTTGCTTTCTGACCCATTAAAAATATTTCACAATGGGCAATTTTCTAATTAGTGGTAGCTAAAGAATATGAAGCTCATAATAGCATTATCATTGGGATCACGGGTTAGAGTTATAGAAATATTCTCTCCACATTCAGAATATTATTGTTTCCTTGGATTCTTTCTAAACTCGGTAGCGATGAAAACTGGTTTCCCTTTTGACTAGAATTAAATGCCTCAGCATGGTTTTGTTGAGAAATAAAATTGCATTTTTTGTTGATTTGGGAGTTATGAATTTTTTTGTTTATTCAACGATCAAGAGTATTCGAATCAGTTTACACACTGAGACTAAATAGACGCATTCCTGTTACCACTTGAACTATATCAGGGTTTGGAGTTATGAATGTTTTGTCAACAGGCTTTTCTAGGTTGTTGCCTCAGCTGCATTGTTAAGTAATAAAATAAAACAAAAACCCTAATCTTGCTATTTTGTCAAGAAAGGATAGGCTTAATTAATTATCTCTTAATAATTAGTACTTTGGGTTAAGCTTATCCATCTCCCTTGAACGTAATTACAGGACTGAGAAGTCAGCACTTTGAATAATTAACAATATGTGCCTGAAATTATTGCCATGATATTTATATTTTATGAAATTGTCAAACTTAAAAATCATGTTTCTAGAAGTCAATGAAAGATATTTCATAAAAAAACCAAAATAAGCTATTTAAATTATTAAAAATATTAAACAAACTACAGGAACCTTGAAAAACCAAAAAAAAAAAAAACAGCTCGTATAGTAAGACTTCAAAAAATTAATATTCATTGTACATGTAATTTATATATGATTGGTAATAATCACACGTCTTAAAAGGCGGGTCTTATTACGGTACCAAAAAAATTAATGTATAATTTATTTATTTTATAATTTTATATTATTTTATTATTTAATGATTTCAAATTATCCCATTTAAAATCAATTTGATACTATAATCTTATTCCTAAAAGACATATGGTAACTTCAATGGGGAGTTCAAATAGTAATATGGACGAGCGATAAATTCAGACATTTTAAGTTTAAATTTTGACAACCTCTTAAGATCAAACAATGAGAAAATTATCTTTCTTAAATACTTTAGTCTTGACATGAATAACTATCCTTTGACCAAATTAAAAGGAGAATTAATGCATAAGTCGGTGGGTATTATACATTGAAAAGGGTATTGGGACCACGTCCGATTTCCAAGTCAATGATTGATGATGTGAATATGGATTATTTTATTAGTTGAGTTTTATAAAGTCAAAAAAATCAGAGGTCCAAGGCTTTCAGCATAATTAGATACAATAGCTCCTCCTAAGTCCTAACTATTATTTATGTAACGGCCATAATTTAAAATTATCTCTTTACTTGTGAGTAAAGTTGACAGTTCAATAAGTCAGCCTTCGTTGTAAATGGCGACAACATTTGATAACTCTTAACATTACTGTCGTTATAACCGATGCAAATCATACTCAAAGAAATTAGAATAGTAATAAGGTGGTTTTACACTGTAAAAAGCACAGGTTTCCCCCTACTTTTAATTGACAAAAAAAAAACATAATTGTCATTGATTTAACCGTGAGTCCTAATATTTATCGGGACTCATTATTTATTCAATAGTTGTAATGAAGGGAGTTAAACAAAAGTGTCAATATAGCATTTTTCTTAACCATTACAATGATAATGTATTTTGAAGTTAGGTGGGTGTTGAAATATGTAGTTTAGCCAAATGATCTGCATTAACACCATATATGTATTTTTGCAGACAAGTCATTGGTTGATCCACCCATTAAAGTTCGACCTTCCCCTTATGTAGTTGTAATTATTAGAAGGGCATCTTGAAAAGTTGCACCACCAATTAAAAATGTAAGTCGTGTTGTGTTGAATTCATTTTATATTTAAATTATGTTATATCATGTTAAAATTTACTTAATTTCTATATAATTCATTATAATTGTGTATAGTCAGGTTTGTATCATATCGGATTTATTAGAACACCACACGTAAGAATCCCACATAAATAGAAAGAAGTTAGAAAGTTCTACTATTCCTTGTAAATTTATTAGTGATCAAATCAAATAAAAAATAAATTGAAAGAGTTCTAATATACGTTGAATAGGTGTATATGAAATTTAAAGATCAAGTTGTATCTCAAGAGGTTTGGATGACAATATTTTATCTTTACAAATAGAGTTGAGTATTATGTAATCAATTACTAAATGATCAGATTTTCAACAAATAATAAATCGATATAATTTTTTTTATCCAAACTTATGGTATCAATATAAATTACCCACTGTGCAAAACCAACAAGTAATATCTCTGTGGGTTTATGATCTTGGGTGAATTATTAGAGCTAAATTAATGATTCGGATGGAACAATCAGAGTTGTAGTGACAATCTTGATGCAACAATTAAAACAGGTTGTTGACAATTCAACAATCAAGTAAGTGCTCATGTTGTAGGAAACTCTCCTACCACATGTGTAGGATGTGATGTGAATATTAATTTTGTCTTACGTACATTAATAACGTAATCTTGAAATTTTTTTGATATAATGTTTTGATCTACAAAGAAAAAAAAAATATAACAGAGAATATTTTTAGAATCGAGGGTTGGTGATTCTGCTTGATCAATTCTTCAAGTGATGTAACATGATTCTTTCAGATTTGGGCTCTTGAATTGTAGTTATGTTAAGATAATGGTTTGGGATATATTGGACCAACAACCACTCAAAATTAACTTGGTATCTCGTACATAAGTTTACGAATCATTGGGCTCTACCTGGTTGGATTAGGAAAGTAATTGACCATTGAATCCTCTTAAGAGCAAGGAAGACGCAAGCAGAAGCACACAGAAATTGAAGCTGAGGCGCAGGCTATTGACAAAGAGATCGACCAAGAGAATTGTAGCAACTCATAACAACAAATTTGCATGTGGTACTTGAAGAAAGTTGTGGATCAAAATTAAGGAGGAGTTGAATTCAATACGATTCACACATGAGGGAAAATTTGTTGGAATATAACATGTGAAAATCTCACAACGAATAGGAAAGAAGTTAGAAAAGTCTTAATATTTATTGAATAAATTTATTAATGATCAAATCAAATAGTGAACAAATCGGAAGAGTTTCGCAAGTGTTTGGATCTGAATAGGTTTAAATGATAATATTTTATTCTTATAAATAGGGTTAAATATTATGTAACAATTATCAAATGAATAGTACATTGTTGTAGTTTTTTTGGTCTATGAATGTAGGTACGGTGTATAGATATAGATACGCTGTATCGAACCACATTATATATCTGTATTTTATTTTATTATTGTTCTATTTCCAAACTTATCGTATCAGTGTCAATTAATTGTTTCGCAAAACCAATAGAATTTGTACATTGTATAAGTCGTACTTAACGAGTTCTTTTTTTTTAGTTGAATTCATGTTGACTTATTTATTCGATGGACCTAATGGGTTTATTCATTTACTACTTAAAACTCAATAATATTAAATTTATATCTGCTAATTTCTTATCGATTTCGTGCAAAGTTTAAGTTGTGTCTGGAGATGACAATCTTAACTCATTACTCATTAACCTACCAATCTGTCCATATTAATTAATACTGGTCCTAAACGGGTTGAATAATATATCTCATTTTAATTAAATATGTTAAGATGGATTACAAATGGGGTACCAATTGGTTGAGTATTTAAATTTCTATTAAATAACAAAAGTAATAAAATCAAATACACACTAATATACAAAAAAAAAAAAAAAATACACACACCCATTAATATACCGAAAAATATACACACATACTAATACGCCAAAACAAATACATACACACTAGTGCACCAAAATACACAAACACTATTGCACTAAAAAATACACACATATACTAGCACACAAACAAAAAAACATGCATACATATATTAGCACACCAAAACACATACACGCACATACAAAACTATTAGTACACCAAAACACACACATACACATACAAAAAAATTTAGTACACCAAAACACACTAAAACCAACCAACAAACAAACACACACACACACACACACACACATACATACACTAATTTACCAAAAAAAAAAACACGCATACACTACTATACTAAAACACATTCACAGACTAATACACAAAAAATACACACAAACACATTAATACATCAAAACACACATATACACTGGACCCAAACCTCGACCTTGGACTTGTACCCATATCGGAGTCCGACCTCAAACTTGACTCTAGACCTCAAACCCAACCCAACACCAAACTCAACCCAGCCTTGGACTTGCACTTGGACTACTCAGACCTGTAGCCAAACCCCGACCGCAGACCCCAACCGATTCCAAGGTACGTGTGTATTTTGGTGTAGTAGTGTTGTTGTGTTGTTTTTGTGTATTAGTGTGTGTATGTTTTGGTGTATATGTGTATATTGTTTGGTGTACTAGTAGTGTGTGTGTGTGTGTGTGTATCTCGATGTAATAGTGTATGTGTATGTGTGTGTTTTATTAAATGTGTTTATATTTTTTTTTTGTGTTTGTATATTTTTGGTGTATTAGTGTGTTTATTATTTGTTGTGTATCAACATGTGCTTCATTTGGTGTATTATTATGTGTTTATATCAAGAGTTTGAATTATTTTATGGGTTAATGAATTTAACTCATCCTATTATAACCCATTTATTAAGTGAGTTGAAAATAAATTAAATTTGTTTTGTACCAAACCCATTTTAAATCAACTCACAACTAACTCAACTCACCCATTTATCACCTCTAGTCGTGCCTATGGGCCCTAATTTTTTTTTTTTCCCCTTTTTTGAAAAGGGAAGAAGAGGTGTCGGGAATGAGATTCAACTCCATGTCATGCCTCGGCTGGGATTGCTCCCCAACCACTGGAGTCAACCCACTTTCTCACAACTAATACAAGGAAACAAACTGTACCTATGAAATTAATGGTTGTAAGATACCCAGAAAAGAGAAATCCACGCAGAGAGACAATTAAGTTTCAAAAAGTACCTGGTAATGAAATGCAATAAAGTTTGCACTTCCCGTTTTTATTAATTGAGATTTCTTGTGATGTTTGGGGAACACCCACATTAATTCAGTCCCTGTCCCTGTCTGTCTCTCTCATTCTATTATTTTCTTCTAACACTCCATTTTGACATTCAGGACCATGGTATGTATAGATGTTCTCTAAGCTCAAATGTCAATAGGAGGAAGAGGTACCATTTCGAACATCAGCCATGGAAGTTGGTCATCCCTCGGACCAACCTATATACAGAAACCGGTTATCTTTTCAGAGCAAGCGCATTACATCTACCTATCCAACTCAAAGAACATAATAGAACTAGTTTCAATCAACCAATCAAAGGCAAAACAATATCCATTATTACCAAATAAGAATCTTTTCCATTCTGTCAAATTGTCTCACAAAAGTTTATCCAGCTTTAAGAAAATATCGGTGAATTACAAATCAAATTACAACATCCAGCTCCAAGACAGAATCCAAGATCAAGTTCAGCTGACAAGAACAAACAACGGCTTGTCTCCTAACCGGTCCCGACCCTGAAATGAAGCAAAATGCAATGCAGCTTGAGTTAGCTATAAGCAAGAAGAGCAATAAAAGTCTTTTGCCCCTGGCAATGTACCGCTTATGGACCCAGATCTAGTGAGCAACACATTAGTCCAGAAATTGAGAGAAGTAGAATTGGATGCATATAGAGTGCTAATTGTTGATGCAGCCTCAGAATCCAGTGATTATATGTTTTTATTGTTCAATGACAACATGTTTTTTCTGCAAGCTTACGTCGTCTTGAAAACTACTGTGCCGCCATAATGACAGAAACATAAGAAATCATATGTTTTATGAATGTGGTTGAGTTGGATATTTTGTTCCTATGACAAAAAGATGACCATATGAATGGTGCAAGTAGGTGAAGAATATCATTGACTAACATAATTGTTATATCTCATCTCATCTGCAAATCTAAGTGGTGATTATTTATTAGTGTGTATTCAACAGTTCGTTGATTTATTAAGGATGTAATTTGTTCTATCAATAGATTTTTGAGATGAATTATTTGTGATTCAGCGCTTTTGAAGGCAAAAAAAAAAGAGGGGTATCCATATCTACTTTCTTTGGAGGCCATGCTGCAATTGATCCCATTGATTTGTAAAACCTGTCGGCAGCCACATATGTATACAACGCAAATACATGCTTAGATAGTGTATTTCCTCAGATCAAGCAGATTGTAGTTTCAAATGTAATTTTAATGAATTCATTGGCAAAACCTAAAGGCAAAAAGTTACGCTTCATAGTGAACCATGGTTAAAATACAGATTATCATTTGGAAATAGTAGTACCTTCAATTCCGGCAGTTCAATAACACAAGCACACTCGACCACATGCACCCCAACACGCTCTGCAAAGAAAATTAACATGACAAACACTAGCAGACTTTAATTACAGGAGTATAGGAGGGTAATTTTTTTCACATGAATAAAGACATACAATTTCACAAGTTTTCTTAAGGAAACCTAATGCTGCAAATGCATAAGATGCAAACTAGATTAACTTTTATATTTGGTGTTTTCTTCTCCCTTCATTTCTCTTCAAAACCCATCTCTCTCATCACCTGAAGTTGAGCATAGAAGTTATAAGCAGACCAGAAGACAACCCATCTATTTTCAACTTCCTGGGTGAACCCAATACTCAACCGTAAAGCCATCAAATATCATTTGTTTAAATCTGCACCTTATTTATTAAATGATCAGCCAATAGGCATGCCCTTTTTTTCTATAAATTTGATGGGATTCCCTATTCCCACCCACCTGACAGCCCCTTGGGTGATTACTAGCATTCGTGTAAAAACTTCATAAGAGATTACATATTAGCACATTACCAAGTAGCCTGATTGCAGCAGATAAGGTGCCCCCAGTTGCAATGAGATCATCCACTATAAGTGCATGTTCCCCTTCTTGTACAGCTCCTACATGCATCTCCATTTTGTCTGTTCCATACTCCAAAGAGTACTCTTCCGTAATAACCTCACCTGACAGAATGATCACTCACATCATTAAGATTTCTGTTAACTCAAATGATTTTACTCATTAATTGTCTAAAATATTTTGCTATAAATATACTAAAGTATATGATAGCTATAAAATAGCATTAAAGGTTGCTTAGGAAAATATTACATATCTACGAGGAAGAAGATAGGCCATCATACAAAATAAGAAAAAAAAGACCCACAAAGCTCAAAACACTTCGCTCCTTTTAAGTACAGACATGTCACTGAAAAGGAGACATAGACAAGAAACTGGGAATCATGGAAATACAAACTTGGACTTAGACATGATACAACATGGGCATATACAAAAACTGAATATTGAAAAAGCAGGAAATGGATATGCAGGGTTAAATGTACCAAAAACGGATTTCATATGAAAAGTTAATAAATCATTGGTTACTAACCTTGTTTTATTACCAGTGAATCATATGCTCTATGGTAGCACAAAATTGGTAGCTTATAACACCCATAATAAAGTAATGACCAAATATTGGTAGTGTATTTGTTATAACTGTAACATTAAGGTGTTCACGCATGCCTTTAATGTCAATATGGATCACATCATTGATTTTGGAAGTCTCAAACAAAATTTTGTTTGAATACCACACATATATTTTAGATCTCAACAGCCACGAGATTTTTGAGATGGTCTGGCACTGATGGATCTCTAAACCATCTAATTTATGACTTCCCTCTTTAGAAAAAAGAAAAAAGTAGAAATAGAAGGGAGAAGAGTAACCTAAAAGTATCCCTGTAAGAGATACATGACAGTAGATGATAGTGGCATTAGGTAATGTAATATTACCTGAATTTAGACCTGGATTTGATAATATGTATTTGCCAATGGTACAACGATAATATCCACATATGCAGATCCAGTAACTTAAACAAGTTTAAAGATATAGCCAGAAGCTCCAACATTAAAAGTAATGCACCAAACCCAAAAAGATGATAGGGACTGGCTTTAGAATGCAACATAATACAAAGGTTTACCAAACCTAGCTAGTAGGGTTCTATCAGAGACTTGCAATAAAATCCCACCTTGTAAGAGATTTGGGAAGGGAGATTATGGATTGTACCAACCACCAGGGGCAGATCCAGAAATTATTCATAGTGGGGGCAACCTATAACTATTTCAATATTATTTTTTTTTTTGAAAATTTACCCATAATTCAAAATTAATATGTTTGGTTTGACTCAAACTTCATATTTTTTTTTTCTTTTTGAGCATAGACTCAATAATTTATCATCATGTTTTTGACAAACAACTTATTAGGACCAGAAGTATTCACTTAATAGACAAACTTAATAGAAATAATTTAGAATAGAAATCTATTTGCCACAACTTTATTAAAACATAGATATAAAAATATTATGATTGATCACATACAAATTGTTGAAGTCTAATTGTTCGAATAATTTAATTAAAAATATAATTCATAATAGACAAATTACAATATATAGTACAATTAAATTAAAAATTATTAAAAATAATTTGAATCTTGCTTTATAATTTTTGCATTCAAATTTCAATTTCTAATATTATGATTTCTAAGTTCAAACCCCAGTTTATTACTGAGATTCAATTTCAATTCACATTAACAAAAATAATAAAGGGGATGAGACAAAAAGAAGCTAGAAAAATAAAACATTGACCAAGAAAGCCTAGTTAAGGAGTTATTGATTAAAAATCCTTAAAACTCATTGCAACAATAACCGACCAAGTATAGTTATTTTTGTTACTCTTGATTCTATTAACTAGTAGGTGGATGAGTTACCTCTTGCTAAAGGTCAAAAGATGTAATTATTTATGTTGTAATAGTGATTTATTGATGTTTATAAAAAAACCTCATCGCACCACTTTTAATTTAAAAATTTTAGTTTGAGGAAAGTGCAAGTCTAAATATTTTTTTTTTACGAAAGAATATCATTTATCTAAAATATAAACTAGCAATAATACTATATGTATTTAATTTAAAAATCTAATCTATTGTTGCCATTGGATTAGAACATACTGGATCTCGTTAAATATTGGGACCCACTAATAATTGAATGATAACAATGATTTAACTTCTCAAATTAGATTTCAATAGTGTTACTCTTACAAACTTAATTTTTTTATAAAATTTTTAGTGGGGTCAAATTTCAATTTTATTAAAAAAAAATTGAAATTTCGAATAACACCCAAAAATTTTCAAAATTCCAGTGGCGGCAGCTGCCCCCTGCCAACCACTGCACCAACATAGTTACACAGGTGCACGCCCGCAACACATAATACTCTAAAGTAGATGTCTAAACACAGTGAGGCACTAATGCAACATATAATGATAAAAAAGGATTGCATGGAGATGGCACTCTGCCATTGTCTAAGGTATGTTACTGAAGTGATAGTGACTTCTCACATTGATGACATCCATGATGTAAATTTCTATTAAACCCTTCACAAATAGCACAACTAAGCTCAATTGGCTGAATTTTGAGTGTATGTGTCTTATGACTCTGTATGTGTCGGCATGGAGAGGAGAGAAGAGAGATAGAGGGATAGAGGACAAATTGAGATCATGAATACGTATTAACAAACGGATTCTCGCCTATCCACAAAGAGAAGTGTACAGTTTATAAAGAAAAGCAAAAAGACATAAAAAGATATACCAGGCAACTTCTTGGGCTTTCTTATAGGGACAAATTTTGCCCCAATAGCCAATGCAATGGGAGGGCCAAATATGAAACCCCTTGCCTCAATACCTGCATTAAGTGAACAACAATATCAGATATAAAATATGGTTACAGTAAGTTTCATTGTAGATAAGTGGATGTCTCCATTTAGACGAAGGTCCTTCAAGCTAACAATGAAACTTTTCTCAATGTTTTTGCCATATTTAACTGGTTCATAACATGGGTTTTTTTTTAAATAGGGAACAAAACTTCCATTAAATAAAGGAGGTACAAGAAAGTGGACAGAAAAATCCACCAATAGAAAGCATAAATGAAAATACAAATAGATAAATTACATGAAAATACATCAAGAGTTTATGTTTATCTTAATAACATGCTGCAATCCAATTATGATGAATGGAGAAAATTGGAAGATCCCCAAACTCTTTAGAAGCCACAACCCAAAGAGAGGCCCATAACTTAACTCTATCCCAAAGAAACTAAAAATAGTTTTCTTTGTCTTCCAAACTCTATTATTCTAGTCAACCAATTGTTGGAAGTTTTACTTCCCCATTGGAGAAAGCTCCTCCATTTTTTTGGGCTTTTTTACCTTTCTTTAATTCAGCAGACGTAAAGTAGATTAAAATAAGGTGAAGATTTGTCTCCATTTGTATGATGCATACTCCAATGGGCTGTAATCCTATTATCAATAACCCTAGCAAGAACATTTGGAGCCAAAATACAAGGTCACATCGGTATCAGGAACATTATCTCATATAGGTAGGTCACTTCTCCTGTTGATCATTTGTCCTTTTCAACATTCTAACCTGAAAAAATTTAGACCATTTCTCAACCTGTGCATGTAATCATCGTCAAAGACCCTCACCTATTTCTTTATTATTGTCACAATTTTACATGATACATAAGAAGAGCCAATCTCAACTTTTCCACGTTTCTTTAGGCCACTTAGAAGTGTGTTTGAAGTTTGTCTGATTTTTTCAAGTCTCCAAAAAAATAAGAGGAAAATAAAAGTCTTGCGAAGAAGAGGCTGCAATTTTATTATTTCATTTATTTGTAAGTATCCAAGGTGAAGGCATTAACAAACTCTTCACAAAAATTGTATTACTTCAAAATTTTGGCATAGTAACTCAACTAAATTCCATATTGGCAAGAATTGTTCGAAAATCTGAAGTTATTCTCTGTCCAGGAGAAAATCTATTATTTCATTTATTTGTAATTATCCAAGGTGAAGGCATTAACAAACTCTTCACAAAAATTGTATTACTTCAAAATTTTGGCTTAGTAACTCAACTAAATGCCATATTGGCAAGAATTGTTCGAAAATCTGAAGTTATTCTCTGGCCAGGAGAAACACACTGAGGTCATTTCTTGGAAAATATTCTCCACAACCTCCACCAGATAATGCCATAATGCATGAAAAGTTAAAAAGCATTCAAACCACAAAAGATCATCAGACTAAAAGGATGCGATGCTTCAAATGCACAACATGTTATTCACAAGAAGACGTTGAAACAGCTCCTTTTGCCTTAATTGTGAATGGCAATAGATAAATATACTGATAATGATTTTGCTTTTCATAAGATAATGATTTTTCCTAGATAAATTCTAAGCTTCCATAGCATATTGACAGAAACATAGAAATAACAGTGGCCTTAGTAACAAGACCATAATATTACTGTCTGAAATTTGGCTTGTCTATATGAGAAGGAAATGCCAACTTCCAATTTAAACTAGTTAACCGATTTGCATACATTCATATTACCTATTTGCATTCGTATGCATTTTCCATAAGTTGGGGGCCTCGGAGGGATATCACGTCATACAGAAACACCGATCAATACCAACATATTACACGTGAGTGGGACAAAGTATAAGCTTATTAAGAACTGAATGGCCTTTGACTATGTTAGTACTACCAATTATAAAAACTTAAAATGATCATGGATGATATGGTTTTAGCCAATAGAAAAGTCTCGTATGCAGTAATCTTATTTATTACCAGAAACTTGGGGATTTTTTGGCAAAAGAGTAGCACTACAGTAAGTTAGGCCCTTTTGCTTAGCCGTGTGTCGATTTCGCATTCCGATTCCCATCAACGGGGCGGTGAGTGTGTTCACTCTGTTCAAAAATCTACATATTCAATAATTTCAGGCTCGAATTTATACAATCTTCCGCTTGACATCGAAGTAGCAAATTGAGAAATTGACCTTTGTTATGCTCTTTCTATTGCAATTTCGTGAAATCAAAAGACAAAAATTCATAACGTGCCCAAATAAAGAGAGATTACCTGCAACAACACTGATATCTTTGTCTTTATACCTCTCAACAAACAGATCAATAGTGTCCTTGAAAGCCTTGTGATTAAGAAGCAGCGTCGTTATATCCTGAAACAGAATCCCTGCACAAACCACCATCCCATTTGTGGTCAACATCCTCCACACACACACACACACACACCAAGAGAGAGAGAGAGATGTCTCAGATTGATGTGTACCAGGTTTAGGGAAGTCGCGGATCACGCGAATGACAGATGAAATTCCAGCGATACGATCGTCTTCGCCGTTTTGATCATGAGCCGCCATGTCCTCCGGTGAACTCACTTGATCTCTCTCTGACTCACTCCAATTCTGGCCTGAGTCTCGTCCTCCCGTGGACGCGCAGATCCGTTGAAGTTTAACAGAGACGTTAGGCAATTTTACTCTGACGGAATTGCCACTGGTTAAATATCTCTGTTCTTTTCCTGTGACGGAACTAGCCCTGGAGACTCTGAGGGCGAGTGTTTTCGTCAGTGCGCTCATTGTCGGGGGTTTTAAAGAAACGAAAAGGGCAAAATGAGTAAAATAAAAGAGTGACTACTGTTATTAAGGAGTAGTTTCGTCCAAGAAGTCGGACGGCTAAGGGAATCAAATCCGATGATAGGTTAAAAGGCGAACAGAAAGAGATCTTCAATGACCGACCGACCGTGAGATTTGGTGTTTGGACAGAGAGAATCATCATATAAGATATTCTATAGTGGGACAATTAAAAAAATTCTTAATGTTCTATTTGATTGGACTCTAATCTGCGTGCTTCATGCTTCAAGTTGTCTTTAAAAGTATGTTCTTTTGTGCAATTTCATTATTTTTTTTTTGTCAACATTAGAGATGTACGAGCCATGTGCGCCTTAATTAATTCTTGATTAATTTTTTTTTTTTGGTTTGATCAAAAATAAGTTATTCACAATAAAATTGAAATGTTTTTCTTATAATCCGATCTTAAAGAGTTGTTAAAATTTAAATTTAAGATGTATGAATTTATAAATCGTTTCTGTTACCACTTAAACTAACTTTAAGTTACTCCCTTTAATGTAAAAAAAATACCAAAATGTGCCTTACCAATGAAATTCCAATTGACTAATGGTGGATTACTCACCTAGTCTTGAGGTAATGGGTGATGTAAGGGGTAGAAATCGCTACGGATCTCATCCCTCCACTTGAAGGATTTTGGCTTGACCTGGGTTAACCCACGTGGGCGACCCCCCCAGTAGCCTTTACCCCTCAGTGCCCGCAGGAGCTTCGTCCCACATCGACTGAGAGTCGTCTCCCCCCCTCGCATAGCCCTTGCACTCAAAGGAGAAGGTACCCACTAGCGACCTGATCAGGTGCCTAGTGGGTACCTCCTCCTTTGAGTGCAAGGGCTTATATGCGAGGGGGGGAGACGACTCTCAGTCGATGTGGGACGAAGCTCCTGCGGGCACTGAGGGGTAAAGGCTACTGGGGGGTCGCCCACGTGGGTTAACCCAGGTCAAGCCGAAATCCTTCAAGTGGAGGGATGAGATCCGTAGCGATTTCTACCCTTACAGGTGATAAAGTCTAAATTTGGCCACCCAATTTAGTAACCCGAGGCTCATATTTGAAGGTTAGATTTAAAGCCGCAGCAAAGGTCTTAATATCTTCTACGAAGGCAGCGATTTCCCATGGGGGGAGCGTCTTCTCTTGTGCACAGCAGAATGAGCGACTGGCTATCGCTTTCAATTGTGGCTCGCCGGAGTTGCAAAGATAGAGCCATGGGACAAGCTTCACTAACTCCAGCTGTCGCCCCCATTGCAACCATTTGTTTTGATTCTAAGGACAGGAGGTGTTACATTTGTACCTAATGTGGGCAAAGGGACCGATTTGGCAGACGACCAATTCTAAGAATATTCAAAACCCAAGAACTCCAACTCTATAGAATAGGTTCCAGACCATCTTGCAACCAAAACCAAACCATACCATTAAGGGTGTAATTTAGGCGGGCTAACTCGAATTCAACTTGAATCCAATCCGAAAAAAATAGAGTTTGAATTAAAATTTTAATATTTGGGTTAAACTTGGGTAGAAAAATACCAACTCAAATTAAATTCGAATAGTACTTGAGTTGAGGTCTCTAGTTACTGGGTTCAACTTGAATGTATAATCGGGCTCGACCCAAATTCTTTCCTAAGTTATAAAGGTTCAATCTTATGTTAAACATTTGACTATTATGTCTTTTATGTTAAATATTAATTTTTATGCTTTAAATATTATAGTCTTTATATTAAACATTTGATTGAAGTTATTGGTTATTACCTTAAACGAATACTATGTATATGCACTAGGTTTAAAACAACAGACTCATTTTCGAGCTTAAATGAATCTAACTCAAATTCTAACCCGAAATAAGCCTAAATTATGTAATCCGAACACAATATAAAATTTCTCTAAATTACGTAATTCGAATTTAACTTGAGCCCGTCCAAATTCAACTTGGGCAATATTCAATTTGAGTACATTGGATTAAAATTAGGATTAGAGTTGATAATTATACACTTTAAGATTGGGTTAGGGTTGGCCCTTCCACCTTTCCGAATTACACCCCTAAAAACCATATTACTCCATAAACCAAGCTCAGCTTGGACAAATGAAGCTCATTGGATCATTTTTCCTCATCAAATTTGGTTATTTTTTCATGACTATTTTGCTTTTTGCTTTTTTCTTCAGCATTTTATTGATAATAAAATTTAAATGGCCAATTCATATAGAAATAACTCAAATCATATTATTTTTATGGGTATTTTTACCACTGTTATGATAATTATTTTTATAATTTTTCTTCGGGACATATTTTTTTTACTTTTATGGGTGTTTTTATTATGGATGTGATAATTGTTTTTACCAATTTTTTTGATATCACAACAATAACAAAATATTCCCCCATGACACACCGAGAATATGGGGCCAACAATTGCAAAGGAGCAGGATTAGAAGTTGTGGCTGCTACAAGAATGGAATATTCCAAAGCATTCGCTTCTAGAAAAATTTAAACTAATTGTGTCACAGTTGAACATTTCTATCCAACCGCTACATAGATACAATACAATGTCTCACTCTTAGAGGCGGCTCTTGAGATCATTTGCTTTTGATTTAATATGGTATTGATAGCAATAACAATTTTTTCAGTTTATTGGTCCTTAATTTTAATTGCTTGTTGACCATGTCTTATTGGAACTAAGTTATCTATCACTATTAACCCTGTTTGCATAGGCTCATGCACATACAAAAATGACAAATATCGGTGTGATACCCATTGTTTTTTTTGGGTATCCTAGGCATCTCCAAGCCAATAAAGATGTTTCTTTTTTACAAAATTTAATCTTGACAACTCGAGATGTGAACGATTAAAATACTATATTTTGAAAGCTCTACCAGGTAGAATGTGTAACTAACTACCCTTCTTGTGAGACTGTTTGACTCGCCTGTTTTTTATTTTTCTTTCTTGTGTTACGGGTAAAGTTCCTCAATAGTTTAAGCTACTTCCGAAATTTAGAAAGAGAAATTATGTCTTATTGAAGCTTCTTCACCACTCAATATAAAAAAAAAGGGGTTATGGAAGCAATGACTTCAATTTCTATGGCCTACTTTTGAGTGATGCCAAATTCCTATGCATATGTTACCTGTTATTTTCCAGGAATACAACGTCAATGGTTTTAAATTTTTAATTAATAATAAGGATTAATTGCATTGGAAGTGTCCAAAATATAGGGTTTATTTTATTTTGATTTTTAATATTTTAATTGTATCATTTTAGTGTCTAAAATATTGAATATATTCTTATGTGATCTCACAAGCAGATAACGTCCAGTTACTAATAATTTTTTATTATAAACTTATTATGTCATACTTAAATATGAATAAAAATAATTTAGATAATTTTTAACCAAATGTCTACCCAAATTTTTGTTAAAGAGTTACGCAAATTATATAGTTTTGATCATGAATTATCTAAATTTTAGTCAAAAGTTACTCATATTACACATTTTTTGTCAAGAGCTATCCAAATTTTGGTCAAAAATTATCCAAATTATTTTTTTCTCATATTTAGGTATCATGTGATAAGGTTATGATAAAAAAATCGTTAGCAATTTGAATGTTATTTGTTTGAGAAAATACATAGAAACATGTTCAATACTTCAGCGACCAAAATAATAAAATTAAAATATTAGAGACCAAAATAAAACAAACTCTATATTTTGGGGACCTCTAGTGCAATTAACCTTAATAATAATGTTATTTGAACTTAATTTATTGACTTAATTAATTACAATTATTAGATTAATAATGAATCTCAACAAATATTGGGATCTACTATCAATCCAAATTATATCAATAAATTAGATATAAATACCATTACTTTTAATTAAAATCATTGTGTGAATAACGTGAGAACTTGTAAACCAAAGCTTAGATTATGTCGAGAACGTTTGACTCTTGTAAACCATGTCTGTTTTAATTTTGTTTTTTTTCTACAAAATTAAAGAGATTTATTTTTATTTTATTTTTAAGTAGGTCCGATAAAAAGCGGGTACTCATTGTACAAGACTCTTTCATATAACGGAGTGGTGTAGACTAATGTGAGTGACCAAAGTGCGTGGGACTAACGGTGAAGTTAGGCTGTCAATTTCGTAATGACAGTGATGAAGTGTTTCTTAGGGGATAGGAGAATTTGTACAGTAGGAATATAGTGGTTCACCGGCTCTGAAACTCGGCTAATCCACTCTCAAATGGAGGCTCTTGCTCCTTTTCTTCTCTATTGATTATTTGAATGTAATATAAGATAGTGCATAACCCAAGTAGGGTTCTTTTTTCTGCTCTCTCTCTCGATGAGACGTTACATAGTATTTATAAGGCTGCCCCCTATTCTGTGGGATTTCAGCCGAAATCTTTGCCCATTTTTATGGAATCTTCCTTGATTTTAGCAGAGAATCTTGGTTGGTTGAGATTTTCATGCATGAGGCCTAATTTTCGCAGTCATCCAGCTGTTTCCTGGTCGGTTCTGCTATGATCTCCCCAAGGGGAGCTCCACCCCTGGTTCTTTGAGTTCCTCGTGTCTTTCCTGACCTCCTAACCTGAGCTCACAACTAGGGCTTGTTTGAGGTATCATCAGTGGCCCCCCAGCCCCTGGTTCAAGCGGGCTTGGACAGGGGTTGAGCTGTTTTTTAAACTGAGCAGGATCTGCACGTGGCTGACCTTGGCTTGCAAGTAAGTTAGGCCTTTTTGACAGTTTTCAGCAATTATGGCTTCCTCATTTCCTGTGCACATTCCAGTCCACGTCTCTTAGGCTTTAAATGCTTAAAGGGCTATTTGAACCGCCCTATTCCACTGTTCAACTTCTCTGCTGCTTCTCTCTTCTTGCGATTTCCTGGCTTTCTGGTTCTCTGATTCCTCATTTAAGATCGAGTTCTGTGGGTTTGATTTGAAGATTCGCATTGCCCTATTTCTTCCATTTTGCTCTAGGCTGCTGTTCGTTGCTCTTTCCCACCTAGGTACGCCTTTTTGTCCCCTTTTCACCTTTTCTCGTTCTGGATCCCTCGAATTCGAAGTGACCATTGCATTTCTGGGCCTTTCGGTTCTTTTACTTTTGGAATCAAGATTACTGCTTGTCTCCTCTCCCCCATTTCGTGGATTGGTCTTCTATCGTGCGAATCCTTGTT